TGTCTTCTGTTTCTTTGGTTGCGTTACTTCTCAAACGCTACCAGTTGCTATGTCCCTTGGTGCTTCCCGTTTCTTGTTGCTTCACTTTCGAAACGTCCACCATGCAAAAACCTCGAGTTTTTCAAGCTTTCCAGACAAAAACTTCAAAATTTCGCAGGAAAATTAACATATAATCAAACACGAAGAACACGGTATTTGCGATACTTCCGCAAAAACCAGACCAAAATCACAAGACAAAGAACTCCACAAATTTTGCCATCCGATACATCGTCTTGTTGATGAAAGCCACGCAAATAGCGGGGTTTTCTAGCTTTTTGAGCAAAAAACCTCTCCAACATAAACGACACACCCCGCGCGGCGGCAGACACAACGCCTTCCTTGTTGTTGCTGTTGTTGCTGCTGTCGCTGTTCCTGCTGTTGTTGCAGTTGCAGCAGCTGCTGCTGCTGCTCCTGGTGTTGTTGTTGTTGTTGCTGTTGATCTGCCGTTGTCACCGTTGCTGTTGTTGCTTCCGCTGCTAGTGACGCTAGTGTTGCAGTTGCTGCTTTCATCGTTGGTGTTGTCACCGCGCCTGCTGCTCCTGCTGCTGCTGCTGCTGCTGCTGCTGCTGCGCTGTTGCTCTGCTGCTGTTGCTGTTGTTGTTATTCTTGCTACTGTTCTTCTTGTTTTTGCCATTGTTGCTGGCGCCACTGCCGCTTCTGGGTTGCTCGCAACCCTTGGGCTGACGGGGTTGCACAGTCAAAAATCTGAGAAGAGGTTGTTGTTTGCATGCAGAGGCAAGGGTCACGAACGCATCCTCTTTCTTCGGGGGTCGTATTCTCATGTTGCGCTGAAGATCGGCCGTTCCCAAGCTGTGCTCGCAGTCTCCTGAGCCGCTGTTGAAGTTTATCTTTGAACAGGTGCCTTCTTAGTCTATATGACGGGCGCTAAGTAATTAAGGGTTGTCCTTTTTGGGAGTGCTAGCACGCACGAAAAGTCTTCTGCATACACTCATGCCGCATATCCCTTCTCCCAGGAACTTAGATGAAGACGAGGCACAGGACCTGGCCGCCGAGCGCCTGAAAGAGTGGCCCGGTAATGAGTTCGGTCCTGAACCCCAGACCCTGAAGCGTAACATGGGAGTCGGAGCAATCAGCGAGCATGTTCCCTTATCGTCTCAAAATGATTCGACCACAACATACAAGCAAAACCCTGTTCGAACTATAGATTCGGCCCTCGCCCCCAAGTTCAACCGAGGCTTCGGACCTTCAGATGTTGCTGCTTACGACAGTTTAATGACAAGTTAGTGGGTCTCTGGGAAGATTGTGGCAGGGTAATAAATCAAGGCCCCACCACTTGCGGGTCCTGGGTTGTGATTTGGAAGGTTCGGTTGGCCAAGGTTTCGTGGCGGTTGTCAAGCAGCTCTGGGGTTTAGGACTCTCGTGTGCTTTTTCAGGGATTTCACTGTTGGCTTTGGACGGCGAAAACAGGATCTATCTCAGGAGGCACAGAACTCTGGAACGAGTGCAAAGCTTCCGACGCCTTGCGTGCACGGCCTGGCTTGAAGCTGACTTGACCGGCGTGGCTGCCCGTGGCTCGCGTCGGACTCAGGTTCTGCAAAGAATGCTGTGGCTCCGTGCTACGCGCTTGGGCGCACGCACTTTGCCTTGATTCAGCCGCCTGTTGCACTTGCATCCTTCCCTTGCACAGCTTTGCCATCTGTCTTGGCTTAAGTCTTGAGTCGAGCGGGTCGAGTTGCAGGTCTTCGACAGCAACAATGACCAGCGAATCAGCAGAGTGGAGTTTCAGAATGGCATGCGCAAATTGGGCTTCCTGGTATGCAATAGCAAGCCTCAAGGCCCTTTGGTTTAGGATTGATGCTTGGTGTGTTGTTTGTTTGTTGGGCCTCAGTGGGATGGTATGGACTTTCAAAGTACCCGGGGTCTTGAGCTGGGGTAGTCGGTGGCCTTAACTTCTGTTGATGTTGCTTCTGTGCTCAGCTCAAATACCCTGGTGGTTGTGACGCACGAACCGAAAGACCTCGTCTGGCGAGTCCGAGTTGCGAGAGCGTAAAGCCCAGCCTGTCTTGCCAGATCTTGCAAGTGAATCAACGCAGCACCACTCCAGCGGGCTGGTCTTTTCACTACCGTACGCAAACCGTTGAAGGTCAGAGGTCTGATGTTGAATACCACAAACATTGACCTCCGAATCACAATTTCGGTGACCGTGATACGGCCAGCCCTTTTCATGAGAGACTCTGAGCTTCATCGCATTTCGCACGGCGGCTGGCAAACAGGACTCACAGTTTAGGCACCGCCTGCCGTGACAGGCTACATGGGCGACTGCTACAAGCTCTTCAACCTCTTGGACAAAGACGCGTCTGGCGAGATCACTCTCGAAGAGATTGATTTTGACAGCGACAGGACCATGGAACGTAGACTGCTGCCACCACATGGTACAACCATAGTACGACGACGATGCTGCTACATCAACAGCAGCAGCAGCAAGAACAACAACAAGTGCTGCTGGTGTTACGAGTTACGACTACTAGCAATACTAGCACCACTGTTACTTCGACGACGACTGCTACGACGACGACTACTACTGACATTTTTTTCTCTCGAACTCTCGCTCTCGCCCCGGCTCGCCTCTTGCGCTCTCTTTGTCGCAGTGGTCGGTGTCAGCCAAGCGTTCGGCGAGCTGCGCTCGGCTGTGTGGGGGCAGCGCCATTCTTTTGAATGGCCCGAGAGTGGAAAGGAATCGTTCCGCTAGAGCAGCAGAAGAAGGTAGCACTTGGCAAGGTGGGGAAGAGATGCGTTCTAGTTGATACTTCTTCCATTACTACACTATTATCGCTGCTGCTGAAATCAGTTTTGCTCCTGTTTTCTACAGTTGCTACGACCACAACTGCTCACTCACGCTCCTGCCGCCTCCACAACTAACATAACTGCTACTACAGGTAGCATTGCCAGAACGACTAGTCTGACAGGCTTTAGAGCAGGCGGGACTTCTGGCAAGCACCGCGAGAGCACAGGGGTTTGAACCACATAGTACAGGACTTCCACATCCAGTAGTAGTACGAGCAGCAATAGTAATCACAATACCACACATACACAAACGTACATCACATTTAGGGATATTACACTCATTATGCATGTGTACATGTATGCATGGATATGTATACATGTATGTATGCAATGTAAGAGTCACGGTTAATGTCAGGCAGAATCAATGCATCTGCTGCTGTAGTGAGATTGATGTTCTGACTCTGTCGAGAGTGCCAAAAATGTGTGTAATGTATGTGTTTGTGTATGTATGTATGTATGTATGTATGTATGTATGTATACACAAATATGTCTGTATACACATGCATGTATGTATACACATGTATGTATATGTGTATATACACGTAGAATTTGTGTATTTATATACACACATACACATGTACTTTATGTGTACATATATTCGAAGGCGAGTGCACATTGCAAGAACCACGATTGGCGACAGTAGTAATGGCGACATGGTTTTGTAGCGTAGTTGTCAAGGGACCAGCATGGTCGCGATAATCACAGTAGTAGCAGTCCTTGAGAATGCCCCTATCCGTATGTGCAACTAGGCAAAACCCCGAACGAGACGCAGCACCGTAGTAGGACCAGAGCAGGTCCTAGAGCGTGCCTCACATAAACCTTTCCGAGATTGGAAGTGAATGTCTTCATCGCAAGGAAGTGGCGGCAGTTTCGGAAGTTCTGTGTGAAACGCTTCTCCAGCTCGGACGACTTCCTGCAGCATCTCGGCCCAACTTACGTGATACAATGCCGCATCTCTTTATGACGTTTGGCCTTAACGCTGAAGGGTTTTGATAAGGGCCATGCCCGCTCAAAGGACGGGTACCGTTCCACAGGAACAGGCCTCACGATGCCTCACGTTAAATCTTCAAGGCCCGGACGCCAGACACTAGCGGCCTTGAGCAAATAATTCGCACCCTACATTCCAAGGCGTTCGACTACGTGTAGAGGCCACAGGGATCGAGCACCCATGTGGCCGTGGTGCGCAAACACTAGCAGAACTTGGGGGACGAACCTCTGCATCGTCTGAACATGCGCAGCCGTCTCTCGCAAATCCGCGGACTGACGCTTACGATCTGCGGCATCTCGGAGCGTTGTGGAGTTTGGCATCCTAGAGTCCATAGACGCCTGTTTTGGTATTTATGTTTCAGTGCTACAGTGTGGGATGGCAGGTGCAACGGCGAAAATCCGCGCGTCTTGCGTAGCAATCCGCCGTCATGCTAGCCGGGATATGTCTTCCATCAGAACTTCCAATTGGCCGACAAACCTTCGCTTAGTTTGGAAACGGTTGACAAATAGCATGGGTGTAATTAGGGTCCCTGTTCCTGGATTGGACAGAACCGTGCATTTTGACCAACCTCTGGGACGAAATCCAGCCTTTTGCCAACCCCTATAAACCTTAAACTAACCTCGTAGCCTAATGTCCTTTTCTTGCCCGCCAGTTTGTCAAGAGAAGAAGTGGCTGAGATTCTGACCTAGTTCGACCTGTCTGCGCAGGATCTCAGTGAGAGCGCAGGCCCGTTAAACTAGATGTACTCCTTAAAGGGAAGTGTTGTTCAGCCGTCCGGAAGCTCTCGCTAGTACAGTTTCACACCGTTTTAGCAGACCTCGAACTATATAATATGCCTCGCCTGGATTGTCCGAGTGTGAGCGCCGAAACTAAACTCGCCCGCCTTGTCTGAATTGAATTGTGACTGCTGAAAACCCTAAACTTCAGAAGATCCCTAGCCAGGAAAACACCCTAAAACTTCCCCCCCGCCCCGTGCATGGATGCCCAGGCAACTTTCCGCTTTGGCCACCGCCATGGAGCAGCTTAGATTGAAGGATTACGCTGGTGGGTTTTATGTTTATGGCTTCTTGGTTTCAGGGGTTTTATATACGTAGGTCTTAAGGGTTTGATATCGGTCATATGCGTTTAGCGTTGGGATATGGTGAATTTCAGCATCATCTGCAAGGTTTCGTGTGGCATCATTCGGTGCTAAGATTTGTCAGGCATTCCCTTATCCCTGTTCCGGGTTGCAATTCTTATGGCACGGACTACTCGCTACACGCTGCTGCTTTATGCTGCCACCTAATGATTCATTGCCACCCTTGCTTAAACCCGTATGACACTTGCGTTTATCGCAACCCTTGTGGTATTAGCCCGAAGCGAACCTTATACAACCCTGACAGCCTTAAAGAACCCTTATAGTGACCCTTATACAGCCCTTACAGCCTTCATGAACCGCTTTCATGAGCCTGAATCCTTACAGCCTTAAAGAACCCAGACAGTGACCCTTACACAATCCTAGCAGCTGGGCGGGTGAGAAAAAACCTTCAACTTTGACCTGAAACTTTAAACCCTTAAAGCGAAGTCTCACTCAGCAGACTCCGAACCACATGCCTCGCCCGGTTTGTCCGAGTGTGAGCGCCGAAGCCCTTAAAGCCTTAGCCTAACCCTATGACCTCCTCTCGCCCAGTGACCTTTCGATCCCGGAGACCAACAAGAAGAAGCCAAGGGTCGAGGCGCTCTCCAAGGCCCGGGCGTTCGCGTTCGGTTCAAAACGACTGAAGTTGAGGACCCTACCTATCAACTCATCTATCATCTGTCTATCTATCCATCTGTTTACCTATGTATATCGCTCTTTTGCAGTGTTCTTCATTCTATCTCCCACCTGTCTAGCTGTCTATCTGTTGATCTATCTACCGATCCATCTCTTTATCTCTCTATCTGTCTGTACTATGTCGATTGTGTTGATGTCGCCAGTTTTCATTCCAGGCTGCATGGCTCGGCTTGCAGGTCAAGTTTCGCGTTTAGGGTATGGGGTTGAGTGCTTCAACGGGTGAAGCGAGTTCAAGGCAGAGTTTGCGACTGTTGAGGCTCGCTGTTCGGAGTGGAACGATTCTCAACTCTCAACCCAAAGTTTTCGTGCCAGGTTTGGGAATAGAGTTTCATTAGCTGAAGAAGCCTGCGCAGTCAAGTGGGGCGTATGTAGTGACGACAGTATGTAGCGAGCAAAGCACAATATCATTAGCTAACACAGGCTGTATAATATCAGCACCCAAACATAAGCTTGATATCCCAACCTTATTGCTTAGGTTGTTTCACAAGGGATTAGGATATCCGCAACCTGATGGTTTTTGTTGAGGCGCTTTTTTGGGTCCCGAGCATAAGCTCACTTCCAAGATTCGCCCACTTTGATTTGGGACGCTGAACAGGTCGAGTTCCTCCTTGGCATGATCAACTCGGGTTGGCCAGGGGAAGACAGGGTGGCTTCGCTGGCATTGGGAGGGGGATGGGGTGCTGGAGGTTCCGGCTTCGGGGTCGAAAGGCAGGGCTCTTCCCTTCGCTTTTTCTTCGTAATGGGCATGCGATGTGGTTTCGAAGCGAGACTTGAAAATATCTCTTCTTCTTACATGCGGCGTGGCTGCCCGGCGTTGCCAGGACCTCGACGAAATCTGGATCACGCTGCGAGATGCCACCGACGAAATGTTGCGACATGTCGAGCGTGACGGGCCAGGAGACGTGACGGCTGTAAACCCCGCGAGCCTGGATAATCAAAGAAAAGCACTCTGTACTATTCATTCCTCACCGTTTTGAGCTGCTTTCCAGCCAAATCTTGGCCTTGTTGAGCCAATGGGCGGATACAGGTTCCAGGCCACTCCTGTTCCACACAGAAAAAGACGAGCCTGTTGCAGGACTCGATTGGTTTGGCATCGAGCTGAGGCAAAGGACAAAACAGAGGGAATCGATCTCATCGGAGTGAATTGGGTATTCCGGTCCCAAGCAGCGGTATCCTAGCCCCTAGCGGGGCGGGAGGCAACAAAAGCAGTACTCTGATCCCGCAGTGCAACCCTGCAGGCGTGTTGTCAATCGCAGCAGAAAGTAGCCAGCGCAATGCTTCTGCATTCGAGCCCCGGAGCTGGCGGCACTGGATATGTGTCTCCGCTAACTCCCAACAGAAACGGCATGGGGCCGTTGGTATGTGTATATAAATATATATATATATATGTATATATGTATCTTTACATGTTCTGTACATACGCCACATCCGGTCTAACGCATGAATGCGTTCGTGCGTGCATGCATACATATTTGCACGCATGCGAACAGTAACATAACACAACAAAGCAACGTAACACAGACTTTGAGATCATGTACAGAGGGCCGATGTTTGTTTGCGCCGGGACCCTTTTGCCCTACTAGCCCTTCTCCATCGAGCCTTAGAACATGAATCGCAGACATGGCCGTTGCGGAGCCTATGCCAGGCGAGCGAAAAAGAAAAGAATGGCAAAGCAGAAGTCGCAACAGTGGTTCGCCCGCCGCCTGCAGATAGGGGCTTGTGTCCAGATCCAACGGCGCAGTGTGTTTCCCTCACCATTTGGTCGGTCCATGTTTGCGAGCTTGTAGTCCCAGAGCCCGAAGCTGTGGTGACGCTGCTCTCAAGCAAGGCGCTGAAGTCTCGGCAAGGCACCAACCCTTTCGTGGTGGCGAAATGCTTCGAAAACTTCAAAACGTGTCTTGGCGCAGCATGTGTTCGACTAGCCTGGCGGTTTCGATCTAGCCTCGCTCCAAGCGATGTCTTCGGTCCAGGTGTAGTGCTTTTTGATCGACTCTGCCCTGGCTTCGTGCGCCTCCTTGATTTGCGTCACCTTTCTTGGAGGTTCATGCGCAAGAAGCACGGCAACCTCATCCGAGCTTGGAGGCAGGATTTGACTGTGAACGATGCAATGTCGATGCTCTGCTGCATCTGAGGTTTTCCTGCCATCAGGCATGCATGCAAACACACATACAGGAAGAATGCAGCATCAGTAGATATAATATCACGTAATGTGTGTGCCCATGCTTACATACTTCTGTACATATATACACAACCATATGTATAGAATTGTATATACATACATACGTCCTGTAGCTTGTTTACATATCGGAATACTGTCTGCCTGCCTACCTGCCTGCCTGCCTGCTTGCCTGCTTGAGTTTATGCAATGTATGCAGGTGGAAGCCTGTGCAGACGTATCTCTCGGATGTGTTTACCAACTCTGCAGGTACGCGCACATGTACACTTGGGCTGGCTTGCGTTCGTTTATCTTTACCTATCTGCCCGTCTCTTGATCTCCCTCATTCTATCACTTCCTCTGTCTCTCCTTCTCGTGCTATGTATTCAAACAGACACCCGACGTGGACAAAGACATACACCACGGGCGCAATTACCTCACACTCAATACTCAACGCATGGATGCCTGAGCCAACAAACCTTTAACTTGCTGCCAGCATCCCGTAACGAGCTGGAAGAACTTGGTGCCCCAAAATTGTGAAGGAACCCTAAACCCTAAACCCAAATCCGAGTGTGAGCGCCGAAACCCGAAACGTGCCCGGCGTTGCTCAGGATCGCCAAAGTCAAGTTCCTGCGCGAGGCAGCGAAGCGGGGAGCTGAGAAGTTTGATGCCACAGGCTGAAAGTGCTGTGATTGTGTACAGTTTAGTATAGTATAGTATCTACTTTTTAGTAATTATATAGTTTGTAATATATAGAGAATTCATAATAATATAATATTGTATCTAATATACAGTAATTAGATAGGGTATAGAGCAATCACTGAGCGTGTTACTACGCGAGCCTGCGTCTGTGCAGGCTTGGTTTTCGAGCTGCATCGACTGAGGCTTGGGTTTTCGCGTGATGCGAAGGATTTGTGGAGAGCCTTAGACAAGGACCCCCTGCCATCTTATAGTATAGGGGCCTAAATAATTACCTACATCATTTTGGGGGTCCCTCATTATAACTACAGTCAGTCATAGTATAATATACCAATAAAGCCCTATTCTAATTATTAAGGCCCCTACACTAAGCGCCCGCTATTCTATTGCAAGACCTAATAGAAACGGGATGGGCAGGATGAATCCGGAACTGCTTCGGTGGATGAGTTGGACCCGGTGGTCGGCAACTTAGAAACCAGAAGGTGCCTGAAAGCAGCCGATGGAGGCCAAAGGGAGCCGTAGATGCGCATCAGATGCTTCACTGAACCTCAGGGGGCTGAAACTCTCGCCCACTTCAAGGCCGGGTGGGGGTTTGCGGGTTGCACTGCTCGAGGGTTCCAGAGTTCAGAGATGGCATGTGGAATCCGATTGGCATGCCGGGCATGCCGGTGGCAAGGGGGTGTTCTTTCAATACAAGGTCAATTATGATAATGACCGTGCTGCAGACCAACCCCCCATGCTTATCTACTGAGTAAGACCTGTATACATTGTACATGCCTATAGTCGTATGTGTGTGTGGGGTTTTCGCAGAATTCAGGCGGCTCTGTTGGGAGTCCCTCGATAAAAGAAACATGAAATTTCTGTACGACGAGTTCCTTATTCAGCCTTACTCGTTGGAACCCCTCCCATATTCTGTCAAGCCAGGTCTGGGTGGACACTGAGTTCGGTGGCATACGGAACGCCTTCAGGCAGATAGATGATGCTTGGGCTGGTCAGGTCTGGTGGGTCTTGGGTTGATGGTCTAGAGTCTAGGGCGGAGGTGGGTCCTGCAAGGGTACATGTCGGACCAGTTTGGGGCATCGACCTTGCCATACCTCACAGCAAGCTGGCACCTGAGGAAGACAATACCAAGCCCCTTGGCTTTTGTTAAAGAACTTTCAAAACGTTACCGCAGGGTGGAATTATAGTATTCTATAGTATATCTCACAATCCAGCCTTCTGATTGTAGTAGCTTAAAGCTGAACCTCTTAACCCTAAGCCCAAAACCCAAAGCCCAGGTCGATTACAATCAAGGAGTTCGACAAGGCCCTCCGGAATTTCAACTTCCCACGGCAATCCAAAGCCCTGTGGCTCGGCCAGCGCGGGGAGGGCCCTGCATTTGTAGGGTCTTACAGGCCTTGTGGCTCAAAGCATTTTAGGCTTTGGGGTTTTGCATGATATCATATGATCCTAGAATTGACTGTAGCCATATAGAATACCATAGTCGGTGGAGGTTGTAGGAGCCCCTCGCCTCAACAGGGTTTCGCGGTCGGGAGGGGTGTTATCGGCTGTTATCGGGTTTCGTGGCACACAGCCTGAGAGGATATGCGCAACGGATAACTGGATGGTAGAGCGCAGTACAATCTCAAAACCTGTGCCAAGATGCCTCGTCTCAAGGTTTGCTCAAAGAGCCATGCTCTGAGCCTGCAGTAGAGCCCAGAGCGTCAAGTAGTCGGGAAAGCATCCCTTCGGCGACCCTGGTGCCCAACGGCCCTAAATCCCGCGGAGGGCCTGGACAAGCACATTTTCTTCGACTTGGTGAAGAGATGGGTCTCGGATATGCTTCATCGGACGAGTCAGGATACTGTGCCAGAAGGATGTCCTTGGCAGTCAATTGCGATGGTCTTCAGTTTCTCGGTGGCGCGTTTCCAGAACTGGTCGCCGTCGCAGGTTGAGGACGAGTTGCACATACTGCCAAGCTCGAGGATGAGACTTACATTTGCTTACATTTTCCGCATGGGCTACTACCCGAGCATTGAGACCATCCAAGTACTTTAGAAATGGTGCATCTACTGCCTTCTGCATCCGAGCAGCTACTTTACACGATGGAGTGAATTCCGGCAGCCACCAGACTTTTCTGTCGTTCGGCTGCCTTCTGGATTGCGTGAAAATCCAGGAGCTCGTGCCGCGAGCACGTCGAAGCCGTTAGTCACTCGTCTGCAGCAGATGCAGAACTCCGTTCACTACGTCAGGTGCCCAGACTACTTCAATGCTACTGAACCGGGTATGTATGTTCTCTTTGTCGCGCTGGCACACTGGATCGCGATGAACCCGCGACTGAAGCCACACGACTTGGGTCATGTTCTGCTGGGGCAGAGGCTGGCTGAACCAAAGAGCGTTCCTCGGCCGGGTATTGCACAGCTGGCGCCCGGGAGCAAGGGACGGGTGCACCGGGACGTCCTGTGCGTCTGGGAGAACCATCGAAACTTCATCTTCGGTCACGAGCAAGTTTCCGTGAAAGACGGAAGTGGGGAATGTTCCATCACTTTCAACGAGATGAGGGAGAGTATCGGCTGCAAGGTCCATGCCAACGGTGCACGTGACCAGACAAGACAGGAGCCCGTTCATTCTCAACACGCGCGAGCATCCAATGGAGCCTTTCCTCATGGTCTACAATGACCCTCCGTCGTAGCATGTGAAGCAATTCCTTGATCGACGGTGTGCCGACTGATTTCTGTAGACAGCTGTGCGCTGTCGTAACCTCGGCTTTTGACCCGACTTGACACCGGAGTTGACCTGCTGAGAACCCGACGCCGCGTGTGCCATGGGCGCAGCCAAAAGTGGGGCGAGTTTGCGGGAGATGCCTTCTTCTAGTAGGTTGCCATGTGGCAATGTCCAGCTCCACGTCTTGGTTAACCTACATAGGATCTGCAATCGTTGTTGTTTATTGCTTATCTTGCTTAAGCTGGTATCTCTGTCGGTTGGATTTTCTTGCAGACTTCCAGCTTTGCACGCCCTCAGAACCGACTGCGAAGTCATTTGGCTGTGTCAAGTTGTGACTGAGAGCGTGAAACCCATCCCCCAAAACCTAAACCGCCAACAGCAACGGTACATCCTAGACGCCCAGTGGATACCCCCGCTTTTCTGGACACTGGGGTAACCTGGCGAGATGGAAAAAGGCGCGTTCAAAAGACAAAAGAAGCCACGAGCTAGTTTTCAATCCAACCACCGCTCTGCGGGCATCGTTCAAGTCATGCGGAGTCCAGAAAACCGTCAATGGACTCCCACAGTTTAGGTACTGCCCCCATACAGTAAGAGTCTATAATAGGGCTACTATTAAGGTCCCAATATATCTCTACTATGAATATTATTCAACTATTACTATTACTGAGTGGGGGCCGTACCCAACCCGCAGTGGTTTTAACCTTCGGACCCGTTAGCGAAGGCTCAAAGGCTCAAACTATCGGAACTTGCGGGTTTGAAAAAACTGAAGGGGGCTATGGAGCACAGTGCTCATACGTGGTCTCTGCGCCAGTTTCTGTTGTTGCGTCCGAGGGTGGTCTCATTATGGCTGCTGCCTCCATGATGATTGGTGTAGTGTCAAGAGAACGGTTCGCGCAAAAAAGTGTTTTCCGATTCCCAGTTATGCGTCCCGAGTGTGCCACAAATTCCCAGGTTTCAGATGCTGGACAAGGACCTGCCAGCCGGGTTGAAGCGTGCAGCTCAGGGCTGTTTCGTTGGAGTTTACGGCTACTTAGACTCTAAGTTGGGACTTAGTAAGTAAGGTTATAAGTACCTTCATTGGGGTTACAAGTAATTATAACTATAGTTACCTTACTTACAACCCTAGTGGTATGCCCATGCTCCGGGCTTTGCAGGGACGCAAGGGCTCTACAGGGCTTTAGAGCTACAGGACCAGAAGACACAGGTGTAGATGCAGGAGAATCTGGCAGGACCAGGAAGATGTTCAGGGAGGGAAGTTTGTGGAGAGAGGCAGCTGATTCTTTCGTTGGTGCGAGCCCGTGTGACTGTCAAACTGACAGTAGAGTCCAAACGGCCCAAGCATTCTCGGGCCGCTCCCGGCATGGCGCCACGCTCCACGCGAATGGCTGGGTTGTCTATGGTTGCAGCGGCAGTGTGCCTTGGAGTGCAGGGCTGTGGCGGCGGCAAGGTCTTCCAGAGCCTCGAAGAAGCGCAGAACGAGACATGCGTAGACCTGGCAGATGCTGGGCAAGCGTGCCTGGACTACTGTTTGGAGTGCATTCGCGGCTACCATGACAGCCTTGCATGGTACGAGCAGAACGGCAAGGAGTTCAACGAACAGCTTCTGCAAGGCTGCGGTAGTAGCAAGGTCTGTCCTCCGCTTGGGTACATCCCGCGTTGAGAAAAAGGGTTTATCCCGGTATGCAAATTCACGAACCGTCATGTTTCACCTTGCAGGAGCAAGCCGCGGAGTGGAAATATATCGCCTGATTGAGTACCACAAGCTTTGGATCGTCGACTTAAGGGTCCAAAACTTCAGATTTTCCAATACAAGGTTTTGGGGCTACACGAACCCGGGGTTGAAGCCGTCCAAGCTCATTCTTCAGCGCTCCCCGTTCAACCTCCGCTAAGTGTGTACCTGAAACTACTTCGGGGTTCCTATAACTTTGTGTTGGGGTCCGTTTCAACAGCTGGATCCTGCCAAACAGTAGGCTATCATAGTTCCGGCGGTGGATTCAGAGCTCTGCGAGGACGCCAATGGAAAGCTGGAAATGGAAGATCTGATTTTCCTGGAGCTCCTTGGCGTTCCCACGCACAGAAGCCTGTGGGTTTCAGGGCACGTGCCCGAGGAAGCGAGGTACTGTGAAAAGTAGGTGCAAGTGTGTGATTAGGATAACTGTCGTAAGGCTGACAAATTGGCAAAGTAGGGAATTCCAAAGCAGTAGCACTAGCGGTGCTTAGCAGTAGTCCTCGATCGTCGCAGTGGCAGTGGTGGCAGTAGTCGTTGTCAGGGTGGTGGCGGGGGTGGTGATGAGTTCATAGTTTATAGTGGCTGTTATAGCCTTATAGCATGTATGACAGGCTACCATCGGGAATGGGGAGACGATCCGTGATGACAAGAAAGATGGTGACCTTCATCATAGCCCCGAGTAGTACCTGTCAGCAGGATAGCTGCAGTGCTGGTCCATGACTGCATAGCACCCTGGACTAGACGACATGAAAGGCTTTTGCCTTAAACTAGTCTTGATGCAATTTTATGTGCTTGATCTTTGGTTGTAGTGGATGGCTTCCAACTGTTAATGAGGAGCTGGCTAATGGGCTGGCCGCCTTGGCCAAAGTGCTTTCGCCGAGACTGGATTCCTCGCCAAGGTTTGTCCGACAGTGAGTGCTGAAACCCTGAACCCCTCCACCTTACTCATCATCAAGTGGATTGTGGTATTCCCCGGCACTAGCGGTAACTAGCGCTCAGTCCTGTCAGTTCAGTTCGAACAAATTCTAACGGTGGTGCGACTCTTTCAGCCGGGCGGGTGGGAGAGAAACCCTTCAAGCCCTTATAAGCGCCCTACGCCCGAAGCCCTGTAGACTCACAGGACCCTTAGGAGGGGGGTAGGGGGAGGGGAGGTAGGGGGTCTCAATGCCCATAATAAGGACCTAACAAGGCCTATTTAAGCATAGTCCCCTATCCGCGCTCCTGGCCCCCTAAAGGTTCCCTATGATAGACTGTAGCCGGCTCAGGAAATGGCAGCCACTCGAGTTCCTCTTGATGGCTCCCGATCACCAGGCCAAACAGGAGTTTCGGGAGCTCTTGCTTGCCCAGGCCTTAGAATCGGCAATGCCGTCTCGAGCTTGAAGCCGACCTCGCGAGGTTCATGAGTACCATATTGGCATTCGAGTTATTGGTAATACTCTTACTAACGCTGCTATTATTGCTATGACGAGTATTGTTCTTGTTTGTCCTGCCTGCTATATTGCCCGCTGGCCTCTTCGGGGACTTTGCCGGCCCTCCAATTTGGTAGAATCTCATGTCAGCTGCAGGGCCCTGCCAGCCGAGTGCGGGTGTGTGAGTCGAACGCTGCACCTTTGAAGCTTGGAAGCTTGTCCGTGGTCCGAGGCGAAGATGGGAAAGTATCTGAAAGCTTGGAAGCGCATCCTGGACAAGGATGCCACCAACCGCTGCAACTGGTACGAGTTCCAGGCAGGAATCCGGCACAGCAAATTCCTCGAGCTTCACTCTCCGTGCGGGAAGATGTCTCCCGAAACCCTTCGCCCGGCTTGTCCGAGTGTCAGCGCCGAAACCCGAAAGAGCACTTTTAAAGCCTTCCACTTCTGTTCTCATGGGATGGTTCCCATAACAGGGTTCATATTAAGGAATCCCTACCCCAAGAATCTTAAACCCCCCCTTTGGCCTCCCATCATGTTCGGAGGATGCTTGCAAAGAGATTGGCTTCCGGGGGAACATGGGCGGTGCCTGGCGGGCCTTCGACGAAGACTTGTCAGGACGCCTCCCTGCTTTGAGGGGTAGAATAGCACTTATTCTAGTACTACTACTACTACTACTACTACTACTACTACTACTACTACTACTACTACTACCACTGCCACTACCACTACCACTACTACTACTACTACTACCACTACTACTACCACTACTACTACTACTACTACTACTACTACTACTACTACTGCTGCTGCTGCTGCTACTACTGCTGCTACTACTGCTACTACTGCTACTACTGCTACTACTACTACTTCCTTCCATTCGCGACGAACGTCCAGGGGTCCGCCTCGCGTGCTAGCGAGCAAGCTACAGGAGCCCGGCTGCATTGCAGCGTTATCTTAGACAACCTCGGAGGAATACATAAAACTGCACCACCACGCCGCCCCTGGGGGCCAAGCACATGGTAAGCCCGAGCCGAAGCTCAGCAGCAGATGCAGCACAAGAGAATATTAAACGTCTGTGGAAGCTCAATCAGGAAATGGAATTGGGAAAGAAGCAGTAGGGCCCTCTCCATCTGCGCAGAACTAAGCGCCCCCCTACTTACTACCACTATGCACACAGCACCCTCTCAGAAGAAGAAGCCCTCAGAAGAGACCGCAAGCCGCTCGATAGCACCTGTAGCCTGAGATCGCACCAGCGGCATGAAGACTCATACACTCGAGAGCCGCGTAGCCACCAGGAATCGGGCCGACCAGAGAAGTGATGCATGACCTCAGCGAAAGAGCAGCACCGCTGCCACTGGCACAGCAAGAAGGGAGCGCCACATAGATAGCGAACTGCTATTTCAACACCGAGTGCATCAGCTCCAGAGCTCAGTCAGAGGAACCCAAGCGCAAAGCCCATACGCTGAAGAGCACCGCGATGGACCTCAGAAATCCTGGTCGACTGGCCAACGTGGTAGGCCAGAAGAAGAAGAAGTCGAGTACCCCACCACGGCAAGCTAAACGAAGTCGGAGCCGTCAGTTCCAGGATGTGTCCACTCGGGCCGTCAGGACTCAGTTGAGTGAGGCCATCAGGGGATTCCACAAAGAGCTCGCCTCCAATAATGAAGCGTGAGAGGGGCATGGCCATGTTACGTGAGGCACTGTGGTTGAACCTGTCACGATGAGGGTGCGCAGCAACATTGAGCGTCAAAGTTACCGTGCTGAAACTCAGAGTGTCATCCCAGGTCGAAACAATGCTCGCCAAAACACTCGTCACCCACGGGTGTGAGCGAGTGGTAAGAGTAACCCCCATCATACTACTACTACTACTACTACTACTACTACTACTACTACTACTACTACTACTACTACTACTACTACTACTACTACTACTACTACTACTGCTACTACTACTACTACTACTAGTACTACTACTATTACTACACACTACTACTTCTATTACTACTACTTTATTACTTCTACTACTACTATTTGTACTACTACTACTACTACTACTACTACTACTACTACTACTACTACTACTACTACTACTACTACTACTCCTACTACTACTACTACTACTCCACTACTACTACTACTACTACTACTACTACTACTACTACTACTACTACTACTACTACTACTACTACTACTACGTTTTTATGAGTTGTAACATTTACTAATAATCACAATGCTAATCAAAACGCGTTCTTTTGTTTCAGTCGCATTGTGCTTCGACGTACCTCAGCCATCCCCAGTCAATAGCATGCCTTGCTATCTAGGTGGTATTCCTGCTATTCATGATGCCCACAATATAGAAGCATAACTTGCCGTGTCGCGTCATATCCTGTAACTTTGACCTTTTGGGAATACTGGTTTGAGAAGACCCCCATGAAGATGTGGCTCATTGCTTAGGGTTCGGGCTGCGTGGGCAGGCCAGCCAGAGAGGGTGAAGGGATGTGAAGGGCAGATGATGCCTAGAATTAGGCTTGAAGGTTTATGGCTACTATACTATTTTTGGCCTCCTTATTCTAAGTAGTATAAGGTGTCCCAAAGCCCTGTTCTAATTGTTAAGGCCCTTAAGTAAACCCCACTATCTCGCAGGTTACATTACCCTGAAAGAGCTCGATGAACAGGCTGCGCCCATAGGGTCCGCTCGCTCGGGTCTGGAAACTACACGTGGCACTGGGCACAAGGAACATCTCCGTTAGGTTTGAGTAATGTAGGGGTGATTCGTTCCTTCTTTTTGAAGGTGTTTGGGGGTCAGGGTCCCATACAGTAGCAAAAGGGTTATGGCCATGGGACCCTTCAGAGAGACCTCGTGCAAAAATGGTCATGGGGGTTATTTGGGTGTGGGATTTAGGGTGCCAAAGCTTGTCGCCTTCAATCGCACCTAAGCCCTAAGCCATGGTATATAACAAATATCGGTTGTACATATGTTGCATGTACTATGAGATTTACCATCCGAAGGCATCAGCAGTCCTTCTGGGCTTTCGTCGCTGGGCTATCCAAGAGCCACTTGGTTGCAGGACTCAGGCTTCTCTCAGCCGGCATCTGCTCCCGAAGCCAGTGCCAAAATATTCCTCAAGCCCTATACATCTGCCTGGTGCCCCTAGAAAGCTGAGACCATCTGCGCTCCAACAGAAGACAGGTTCGGATCGGTCCGACAGCTTTTCCAGATCTTCGACAAGGATGGGTCCAACAGCCTCAGCTGCTCAGCTTGCAGGTTTATGGTTAGCAGGGCAGCCTGGTATCATGATCCTGCAGTGCTTCTGAACCGTACTGATGCAACTTCAAGTCTCCAGCCCTGTGGTGCCACTTCAGGAAGAGTGTATTGCAAGTGGCACACCCAAGAGGGGCCAACCCTGTAGAACGATCCCCAAGCCAAACCCTAACGGGCCCCAAGTTTGAAAATAATAATAATAATAATCATAATCCGAAATAATGATAGCAATAACAATAAAGGTAATAATAACTATATTATTAATGAAAATGTATACGCCCTTCATCCTGAGCACCGGATGCAAAGAGGGATCGCTGTGAAGAGCTTCGTTGCTGTCGCTGAGTCGGGCTGCTGTGCGCAAGGGCATCGGCTCGCTTCAGGCTTCCTGGAATGGCGTGGGGCGCTGAGGGTATATGGCACCTTGGCCTTTATAAGATCTGTTATAGCAACGACTGGTGGCCATTGTACTGGCAAGCATACTGCAGTACAATGAATATAGGGGCAATCACAGATTCATAGCGGCAGCAGCAGCAGTAGCAATAATACTAGTATTACAACAATGGGGCGCTCGAGTAGTCAAGAATCTTTTCACTCGAGCTTATGTATCTGAATTTCTCCCCTGGGCCTCAAGATACTCAATTTGGTAGTAGAGCAAACCGCAGATTCAGCAGCAGCATGTACCTCGATTATGATGATGATTCATGATTGTTGTTCGTATGGTTGCGCTGACTTTCTTGTGGTTATGCGTAGGCTGACGGCAGTGGATCAGAACGTGCCAGCTCAGGCTACGATGGACCGAGCAGGATGGTCTGCTGGGGCTCAGAGGGTGTTCTGGGGCCTTGAGACTTTTTCTTCCGGTTGGAGGAAAGCTTCACAGGCTTAAGACTTAACATCTCCGGGCGCAGGGCTGCCTCCGAAAGTATTCTAGAGGAAGGCATCAGACAAATGACTCTGGCCGTTTTTCCTCCATCAGCGAAACCGTCTACCCTTGGTCGAGTGCGAGTGCCAAAGAACTTAGAGAGAAAGGATCTGATGTGCCAGTAAGGGTGGGGGACTCCATGCTGACAGCTTCGGATCCCCTGCACAGGGAGCTGTTCCAAGCTTTGGACGTGGACCAGGAGGGCACGCTGTCAATGAAGGAGGCCGCAATGGGTGACGGAAAATACAAGTTGCTTGCAATTTCGGTTTTCGAGGCCCTTTCAGTGTAAAGTGCTCAGAAGTGGATCTTGAAGTCCAGACCTCTCCGCTTCGAGCTTTACGCCAGAGCCCGAACCTCAGACTCCGTCCGTGCCTGGAGGTGGACTTCTTGGACGACTGGGATCTAGACCTGGAGGAAGAGCTGCCCGAGAGCCAGAGCCGACGGCCCTCCAACCAGCCACGGCCGACGAGCCCGGTGAACTGGATTGTCATTACAGCTGGTTGTTATTGTTTTCACTCCTAAGTTATTGCTATCGCAGTGGTGGTTGTGACGTATAGAATAGTAGCCGTAGCCGTGGCAGGAAGCAGCAGCACGATAGCCCTAAGAATGATGGCAGACGAACCCACGTGGTCGTGGTATTGTTGGTATTTGGTAGTAAGCAAAAGGGCGTCTTGCTGTCATGGCGTCGTCGTCGTGGTTGTGCTGGTGGTTGCGTGTTATTTGCGGTTATTGGTTGTTTGTTGTTGTTATTCTTCTTCTCAGTCTGATTCATCTTGTTCACTAATCTTCTTTATTGTGCTTTTCATTGTTCTTGTTGGCGTTGTCGTCGTTGTCGTTGGTTGTGCTTGTGATTGTGGCTGCGGTTGCGGTTGTGGTTGTGGTTGTTGTTGTTGTTGTTGTTGTTGTTGTTGTTGTTGTTGTTGTTGTTGTTGTTGTTGTTGTTGTTGTTGTTGTTGTTGTTGTTGTTGTTGTTGTTGTTGTTGTTGTGGTTGGGGCTGTGGCTGTGGTTGTGGCTGTGGTTGCTGAAGTCGTTGTGCTTGTTGTCAGGTTGTTGTGGTTGTTGTTGTTGTTGTGGTGGTGGTGCTTCTGATTCTTCTTGTTATAATCGTTATTCTTTTGCTTATGGTTCGTCTTCTTCTTGTTGTTGTTGCTGCTGCTCTGTTGTTCTAAGTTGTTGTTAGATGGTCCACCAGAAGTAGGAATAGTAGCGACCAGTGACACTGATCAGCGGCGCATATTCATAGTGCGTTGATTAAGAAGCACACCTGGCTTTCAAAAGGTAAAGCAGAGGTGGGCTGCGAAGCGTGGTAGCGCTGGCAACTGGCAGGAGGAAGAGAGGTGTCACGAAAGGAAAACCCAACAACAGACAGCGAAGGCAGCCCGTCGTGCGGAAGCAGCGCCGAAGGGTCCTCACACGACCTCCGCACGACGACTTTCCTACGCAAGACGTGCCTCCTTGCAGGAATCCGCGCCTGGGCTGATCTGAGCTGTTTTGTGTAGAGAGCTAGGGGTGTTTTTATCAGTTTGCAACGACTTGGGTGTGATTACATGGAGGTTATAGGGCAGCTATGCTTGCAAAGGTGCCTAAAATGGTTGGGAGTTTATGTGTAGCATGTGCAGTTGCATCTACAATCTACAAGCTGCAACATCTCTTGGGCTCCTCCATTGCACTTCCTCACAGTTGTGACATGGGTGGTTGTCTAAATTGGGGACTTTTTTTACGCCCCCAAAATAGCACGGCAAGCTCAAAAGCAGGTCCCTACAAGGGATCCTAATTTACGGAACTACCCATGTGTCATGTGTTGTCGACCGATCACCCCGGAAGCCACAGACTGGAGGGCTCATTCTCGTAGGTTTTGGGACTGCTTCGTTTGTACTTCTAGGGTGAATAAGCCACACCAAGGCGAAATCGCGTGCTGCAAAAGTGATGTCGAGTTCTTCCTTCAACACGAAGGACCACAATATGCCCAGATAAGCGTTTGGCACATGTTGGATTCTCATGTGGCAATCTGTTTGGAGGTCGCTATGATATGCCGGTTCCTGTACTTTTCAGGGCCTTACGCAAAGGTCCCCGATCTTCTGAAACTCTTCCTTTGAAATGCTGAGCCCTCGGTCTTTCCGTGAAGAATACAGTATCTTCCTCCAAATCACTGATGAGATTCTCGCGCCCCCGCCCATGCAAGTCAGCGACTGTCCCCTTCGTGCTGCACTCTTAGCTGAACCTCTTTGGGCCTACTCCATGGCCACAAGGTGATGGCACAAAGACGACATTACATGCCATCAGGATCACCATCGCTACAAAGCTGTGAAGATTGCTAAACCCCAAACACATGGACCTGGCTTGCACTGTCCGTAGCGAGGGATTGAAAGTCAAACAACGAAGCCCCGAACGACTCAAGAGCGCAATGCTCCAAAGCCCGACAAATCCCAAAGCCGAAAGTCAGGAGGCAAAGGCAGTCCTAGCCGAATCCCCACCCAAACCCCTAAACCAGAACCCCTAAACCAGAACCCTTAAACCCTGCGAGTCCGAGTGTGAGAGCGTAAACCCTTAAACCCTAAACCAGAACCCTGAAACAAGAACCCTCAGCCAGGTATTCCGACTGTAGCAGGGAGGAAAAGGGCCCTCAAAAAAAAAAAAAAGAACCCTCAGCCAGGACGAGGACAGCTCTGACAGCTCAGAGCCCGAGAGGCCCAAAAACATCGCACGGCGCTGGCGGGTCCAGAACCCCATGGGCCTGATCCGCCTGGTGACTCCGGAGAGAAAGCTTTAGGTTTAGGGTGGGGGGGGGGGGCGTTTGGGGGTGTTAGGGCTCCTGTACATTCAACAGAAGTTTGCTTTTCCGATGCTGTAGCGACAATGCAGGGCTTGGGGTTTAGATATCGTTCAGGTTTCAGAGTCCAGTTTTTGCCTTTGTTGCTGCGCTGCCGGGGTTGAAGAGTTGCTTTCTTGACCTGTGGGTCTCTATCCAGCTTGAAACCAGTTTGCATCTGCGGATGCCGTGCGGTATAGTATCAAAATACATTCGACACGTGGTCTGCGCGCCTATCTAGGGCTTTATCAGCCTGCACCCCTCGCAGCTAGCAGCCGGCAAACCCAGGTGAACAAGGTGATTCCCAAGAAGAAGCCCAGGCGAGGGCCATATTCTGCTATGCCTGGGACGGTTTCAAGATTCGTTGTGTCATGGGGCCAACCCAACCATTCGCACAGCTGCAGTAGGGCTATCTATAGTACGAAATCTTACCTGGCCCTTCTGCTCCGAACGGTTCAACTTCCTGGCTACCCTCCCCCACTGAAATGCCCTAAACACCTCGCCTGGATTGCCCGAGTGTGAGCGCCGAAACACCTTGATCCTCCAAGTCTCAAGCTTTGAGGACCTCAACACCCCGTCCGACCGACCAGTGCCCTCGCGCTTCGGCTGTTGGGACGTCCGAAAACGAGTAGTGAGTAGGGTTCTTCTTGTCAGGACCCCTTCACAAGGCACCTAAAAGTTTGTAAGACGCTTACATGACCCACCCACCCCCACATCCATAGCCAGCAGGTTTTACATGTCCAACGGGGTGGTCATGGAGCGCTCGGAGGTCAGTTTCCCTCAGTGTTTCGTGGGGTCGAGAAGCGGCTTCAGCGTTTTTTGGGGCTATCGGGCCTCAGAGTTCGGGCGTTTGAAGACGAGGTTGTCTCGAGTCCACATGGCAGTGGGATTCTGGGAGATTCGATACCGTTGCAGGTGCAAAGAGTCAGTGTAGAGTGCCTTCAGAGTTGGGATTTACAGGTTTCCAAGACAACGATCAGGCAGCACAACTGACAAAGCACCCAAAACATCCTGGGACAGATGAGCGGAGATGCACAAGGTGCACGTTCTCACGTCCAAAAACTTCCAGCAAGCAGAATCGAGCCCTGAACATCCCTCAAGCCCTCACATCGAGCCTTTTTGAATCTCTTTGCCCGGGAGGCCAGCAGGGATTCCACTGTGAGTCGGCCTCTCACCCAGACGCTGACGCAATCCGAGGCCGGGTACACGTTCGGAGTAGTCGGGGCGGGCTTGTAAGGAGGTGGAGTAGGAAGCTAAAGTAGATTACTGCGTTTGGGTTCCGGCTGAGGCCGATGTCATGCAGCCATAGTATGTTCCAGAACCTGCCATCAGTCCACTAGCGGCCTCACGACTGACCAGCCATAGATGCTTCGGTACTGTAGTCTTTTGTGTTCCTCCGTGTGCTGTGACTGCCAGCATTTGTTCAGTCTCGAGCACATAGTACGCAGATGCCCGAGTCGATCTTGCATCCACTTGCATAGACCTCTTTGGCCATGACGGAAATTCGATTGGTACACCGCAGGGGCACTTCCAGATCCGTGGAGCGAGAGCACCTAGCTACCTACCTGATTGCCTGCTTGCGTGCCTAGCTCCCTCCCTACCAGTACCTACCACGACTACGGCTGCGACTACGAGGCAGTAACTCCACTTATTCAGAGGGTCTATATCCCCACAGGGTCCCCCTGATCTTTACTCGTAGTAATTGGGAGCTCCCAGGCAGATGAGCTTTCTCTGAGCCACGACTTATCTACGACGCTGAGCCGACCCACGACGCAAGAAAGGTTCTTGACCTTCTCGGAGGAGGCTCCGGCTCTCCGAAGTTACTTTAGGGGCCTAAATAATTACCAACACTATTTTTTGGGGTTCCTTATTATAGTTATGGTATAATGGGCCCCAAAACGCTATTCTATTTATTAAGGCCCTTACATTCTGGGATTTGTCGGGTACTTCAGCGAGTGGAAGAAGTGCGTGTTTGCCTCTCTCTCTCTCTCTCTCTCCTCTGTGTCTCTGCGAGTGTTGCACCAAATAGGTGGTCTCGCAGGAGGCATCACCGGGAGAACGGTCAAGAAGCTGCAATGACAGTAGAAGTGGCGCAAAGAATGGGTTCATGTCGTGCTTGCACGATTTCTATACAGGCCCTGCCCTGTAGTCGGACAGAGCCATGAGAGCGGTATATGCCCCCACTCAATGTAGGAAATAGAAGTAAACGTAGTGCTGAAATTGAAAAGCGAAGCTAGCTGCAGATGCACCAATGCGCAATGGCAGGTAAACGGTGAGCTTGCCCTCAGCCGGCCAATGACACAGTCCACCTTCGAGTTTGGAGAGGCCGCCCAGACCAATTGATGCCGAACGGCCTGATTATACCAGTGCAATCCGAGAGCTATGCTCGCGCATGAACCTGCAATATCCGAGCTCGTGGCAGGATCCCGTGAGTGGTTGGGAATCCGTCAGCAAATAAGACGCCACTCTACGGCAAACCCCTTTACCCTAAACCGTCCGAGTGTGAGCGCCGAAACCCACTCCAGAGAGGCCAGCAGCGAGTTGGCAGCGAGCCGACCCATGACGCAACACACAGTAACCTTCTCGGAGGCCGGGGGGTTACTTGGAGGATCATGGGACTTAGGAAGGTCCCTATAGGGTTTCGGGTTGGGGTCATGGGACTTAGTAAGTACGGTTCCTTAAACGGGGTTCCTTAGCGGGATCTATAAGGGATATATGGGACTTAGTAAGTAAGGTTATAAGTTATCAGTACCCCAATTGGGGTTGGGCAGCAATTATAACTATGGCTACCCTATTTATAACCCCTAATTACTAAGTCCCATCCGGCACACGTGAGAATCGCAACTTGTCCTTTTTCACACCGACTCCGCACCTAAGAACCTCGCCTGGCTGTGTCCGAGTTGCGAGAGCGTAATTACTAAGTCCCATGATCCTCCAAGCATGCTTTACATAAACCCTATAATATAACCGTGGAGGGATTCCCTGCCAGGTAAGCCAAATCGAGGCTTTGCATAGGTTTTAAGCACCGAAAGAGAAATCTACATGAGTGCATCGAAGGCCCAAAGCCAAGAAACGCCTCGTTAGAATATCAATCCGGATTCAGAAGAGCACCGGCAACAGCAGCAATGAAAAAGCCATCCACGACAGCAGCGACAACAGCAAGAAGAAGGAACAGCAATGCGACGACGCTCTCGACGGAAGAGGCTCGGCGCAGCAGAGCGTGAGAGAGAGACAGAACTAATGAACGGCGAAAATATCAAAAAAAACAGAGCCGGAACCATGTGTTGAACATCTGATACTGCTGCCACTTGCAGTGTTCGTGGATATGATCGTCGTTGTAGGAACCCGTTCTCGTTGCAACGGGACTTCACTGTGGGGGTTCGGCATGTAGCATCTTGTGGTACCTGCTTCGAAACCGTATAGTATCTCCGATAATGCCCGTATAATACCTACTTCATTGCAACCTTTCAACCTTTCGAGAAATCCATGTGGGTGGTTGTCAAAATTAGGGTCCCTTTTTGGGTCCTTAATATAGTACGGCACCTATTATTTAGGATACCCATAAAGGGACCCTATTTTTTGACAACCACCCATGTAGAAACCTCATAGAACCCCAGAGCCTCAACCCTAAACCTTCAACACAGGTGTACCTGGCAGGTTGGTAGGAGCTTTCCCAAACAGCATATGATTTTCGTTAACTGAAGGGAGCTTTGTACATTGATTGGCGATATCCTTTTTAGCAGGTTGGTAGCCGTATCAAGGTTTTGTGTATGACCGTCGGTCTTTCTTGCGCTGCCCTCAATCAACCCAGTCACCATACTCCTGGAGACTTCGTCTGGCTTGCCCGAGTTGCGAGAACGTATTGCAGGGCAAGGTGGGGGTCTAAATAACTACCCCAAACTAGGGGCTTCCTCATGATAACTATAGTATGATATACCCCCAAACCCTATTCTAGTCATCATGACCCTATATTAAGCCTTGAACCTTAACCTCTACACTCTAGTTCCTTCGACTCTGCGAAGGCCAGCTGCGAGCTTCCCGTCTTGCACCGCCAAAGTACGCAGCACTCAGAGGCCTGGGTGTAAGATGGGGTCTGAGTAGTAGTTGAAGGAGTAATCTGGAAAGGAACCCTTATAGAACCATTCTAGAGCTCTTTTCGGACCCTTTAAGGAACCCAAGAACTTCCACACGTAGGGTAGTCAGTAACGGCATCCCCTTATAGTCCCCAAAAAAGGTGGCAGATAGGGCCAGATAGGGATCGGGAATATTGGCAATGGTAGCCCCTTATAGCCCCAACATAATGGTCCGTCCGCCCCAAATCCTATTCTGATTAGTGAAGGCCCCAGTAGTACCGACTCCCGGGCGTAGATGAGGATCCAGGCTGTTATTCCGTAACTAACATCCAATCCGTGCAATGCTACTGCTGGCCAGTTAGCGCAGTAGGAGATAAGAAGAATGCGGAGCTCGGCGCGGCAGAAGACCACACTCTAAGCATCTCTAAGCCTTGGAGTCCATCCTCCGCTTAGAAGGCTTTGCTACAATCCACAAAAATCAGCACGCTAGACCCTTGAAACCGAAAACCCTTCGCCCACAAACCAACCCAAACCCCCAAACCCCGGAGTTCTCTATCTCCAGGGAGGCTTCGGGAGCGAGGCTGTGGCCTCTTTCTGCTTCGCGCCGGCCCTCGGCTCGGGAGATTTTGCGGGTTTCGGTTCGGAATTTAGGGCTTTCCGCTGCTGGCTGTGGGCTCTAAGATGTATGTAGAGCTCATTACTAGATTGGGATTGTGCATTCTGACCATACCGTTGTGTTGTTTGCAATGCGGTGGCTGCAAAGCTGTCAGTGCATGTCAGGGTTAGCTTGGTAGCCACGTTGGCAGCTCTTTATTGCCACACACGCATCCGCCTTGTCCAGTCACTGACGATGATGATGGTGGTGGTGATGGTGATGGTCATGATGATGATGATGATGACAATGGTGGTGATGATGATGCGATTCACTTGTCATTGTTCAGTGGTGTGTGGGGGTTCAGGCCACAGTTGGAAGACCAAACCGGCTTCTTGCGACTAGCTGTTCCATGCTGTAACAGCTTTGACTTGGTGGTGTAGTTCCCTCCTCTGCGAACCTTACCTGCTTCAGCACCCCCAACACCCCTTAGTCCTTAGTTACTTGTGCTACTTCTTAGAACAAAAGGAATCTTCGCTAGTTAAGGAGTGCAATCGGCCTTTCTGGGTACCGGTCCGACTCTTCGAGGCCTCTGGCGCAGAAGCCCTTGAGCGTGCCAGTCAGAGAGACTACCTGACGCAGGCCCGAGCTCCGATGAGGAGCTTCTTGAGAAACCGGGCCTCCTTAGCAAGAGGTCTTTACTAGGCGTCTAGAACAAGACTCTGACCATTAAGGCTCTATCCACTGGGGTCGCTGGTGTTATGAAACTTCCGTCTTGTTTGCGTCAAAGCAGCGAGGGACAGAAGGGTGAGGATCCGAGAGAGTCTAAGACCACTCCCCATCCGCACATGCCGGAGTTGTACAGGTACCGTGTTGATGATCACCATGCTGACAACGACGACGATGATGATGCCGATGATGGCATTTATGATTCCTCAAAGCCGAGTTCTCACGGCAGGCCCTGGGGCTGGATCGGGAGATGGAGCCTGTGGCACCTCCGTTGCCTGCGAGGACAAGGTCCGCCCCCCCCCCCCCCGAAAATCTGTGAGCCTCCTGGAACCAGGATTGGTTGCTTGAAGCTGGAAAGGGGGCATGAAAGGTGCTTTCTTGCAAGAGAGTTTCGGCTTGACTTGACAGGGTGTCGGTATTTTTCTCAATTCGCCACACCGAGCCCTCCTTCACCTCATGCAGACCACCACCTGGGAAAGCGCGGCAGCTGCGCGTGGCAGCGCTCCAGGCCCAGAGCAGAGGGTTTGGATTTAGCATTGAAGGAGTTCAGGCTGCAGGGCTCCGGGCTTCAGACATTGCGCCGTTCCGTCGTGGCCGACATGGACCATGGAGCTCCAGTCATCCAAAATTTCCCTGCTGAACGGTGCCCGTCGCAAGCTGTTCTCCTCAGCGCTCACCGAGCTGACTGAGCTAGCTTGCTGGCAACTATGGTCTGGTTGAAGTTTCAGTGTTCAGCAAGTAGGCGTGCAGATTCTTCGTGTGCCCCGGGCTTTGGTAGCTGCAATTCGTGCTGGTGGCATGCAGGCTTCTCCGATGGTCTCTGAGTGCCTGCTTTGCTGATAACAAGAATATGACTGCGTATCCTGCGAGCGTGCAGCAGAGCACAAGAACCCTGTCCAGTGTCAGCAACATGTCCCTAATGCAGCATGCATGCGAGGCCGAAAGCGACTTGTCACTGCGGCCGTCGCTGGACCAACTGCTAACTTCCGTCTGCGTCGGACCAGCAACTGTGATGGCATTGAACAGGCTTTACTTTAGGAAAATTACCTGTTTCTGGTGAGGCTGGGAGGCTTGAGGCCAGGGTGGCAAGAGGCAGTTCTGGGCAACTTGCCGAATGCAGAGTTGTTCCCGCAGTACGAACGAAGGCCATGCTTTCGACGATGCTTCTGAGGGACCGTGGTCTCTTGGGCAGCATGTTCAGGATAAGCTTACTTTGGCAAGATGGCTGTGTCCGTCAGATCATCGCAGGTCGTACTACGATGCGATGGCTTGCTATTACCATTACGGTGAAGTTTTGTAAATATATGGGGGCCCGGCCAGCCGCACTGGCCGCAGAGGTAGTATAAAATATTTGTTTAAATCCGTATATTTAAATCCCAGTATGACGTGATCTAGCCTTCAGTCTTAAAAAGGTGAAGTGCTGGCGGGTTGAAGGCTGGAAGGGGTTGAAGGCTGGAAGGGGTTTAGGGCTGGAGGGGTTGAAGGCTGGAGGGCTGGTGTGCTGGCTGGAGGAAGGCTGGAAGGCTTCAACTCCAGCCCAGCTCCAACCCTCCAGCCCTCTCCAGCCTCCTTCCTCCAGCCCCAGCCCAGCCTGCCTCCAGCCCAGCCTCCATTTCAGCCCTCCAGGCTTGCAGCCTCCTTCGTCCAACCTTCCTCCCTTGCCCCAGCCTTCCTCCGTTCCAGCTTTCCAGCCTTTCCAGCTTCCCAGCCCCAGGCCAGCCTGCCTCAAGCTCAGGGGGAAGGGCTGGAAGAAGGCTGGCTGGAAGGCTGGCTGGAGGGCTGGCTGGAAGGCTGGAAGGCTGGAAGGCTGGATGGCTGGCTGGGTTGGAAGGGTGGAAGGCTTGAAGGCTGGAGGGCCGGGGAAGGCTGGAAGGCGCAGGCTGGAAGGCTGGAGGGCTGGGTCTGGAAAACTGAAGCTCAGCAAAGCTGGAGGGCTGGGGCTGGAGGAAGGCTGGCTCGGTTTGGCTTGAACCTAAAGCTGAAAGGTTTGGCTTCTACCTGAACCCTAAACCCTTAAACCCTAAACCCAAAAATCCTAAACCCCAAACCCACCAATGATCTGCCAATTTCCGGATATTTCATTTCGAGGCGGGCCCGGGCGATGTTTCACGGAGGTAGTGTAATATACCTGTTTAACCTGTTTAAATATCCGTGTATTTAAAACCAGACGCCGTACTTACATTACGACTTTAAGCGTCTTTGCTACAGTTTGCTCTTGATCTTTGAATTTGCTTATGGCTCTCGTGACAATTCCTCCGGCTAAGGTTGTTGTTGTCAACATTTGTTTGTCTTGGTTGCCTGTTGTTTGCACCACCAAACTTGACGCAATGATTGTTGTGACAAGATATGGCCAGCATTGGGTTGTTACTTACACCACGGGTAAAGTGATCGCAGTGGGCACTCACGGCGGCTCAGCAGTTCACGTTACAGCGGATATTCGACCAAAGTCTGCCCGCTGCGCTAATTCGTTTTGGAACTTTTCAAGGCTCTCAGTCGTGCTCCCGCCACAGTGCACATTCGTTTCAGGGCGCGGCTCGTCTTCCCGCCAGTCCTGAAGCCGTGCAGCCGTCACACTGGCGTTCGTGTGTGGGGGCTCGTCGCTTTCCCATCTCGCCGTGTCGTGCTCCCACCACGGTCCGCACTGCGGTGCTGCAAAAATCAAAATTGCTCTGCCGCCTCACTATCCGGGCAGCGTCTAGGTTTCAGTTTCAGCGTTGTAGGCTGACAATCAGGCTTTGGTTTCAATGCAGGTTCCGTGCCTTCAGAAGCCAAGAAGCGCGCATCCTTGCACCATGCAGCAAACTAAGGAAAAGTCGGTTCCTGTGGAGCAAGCCGCAACATCCGGATTTCCTAGCGGCTCTAGCGCTCGCGCGGGTTTTCTAAGGAGCTGCCTCAAGAAACCCAAGACTCAAGCCCGAAACTACATTCTAATCCTGACGAACATTAAGTTCCATGCCCCGAACCGTATGCCCCGAACCCCAAACTCCAAACTCTTAAGATACTGTAAGCCACTTCGTTGGGGCGTGGCCGCCGTTCTTGTCGCAAGGATACTACCAAGGTCTGCGTTTGGGTCCTTCCTGTTTTGGAAAATCGGGGCTACTTGAGCTGGGGGTTTGAAGAATATGCCCTGGGAGCACACATCCTAACAGGAATGGGAATAATTATGTTCGGTCGAAGTAATACCAGGGTTTCAGGGAGTGCGGGCTCGAAGTCTACACTTTGTGGTTGGGGTGTTGGGACGGTTCAAAAACTAGAAAGGGGATTCGGCCTTCAGAGTCTTCAATGTCCTTGGAGTTGTATTGCTAGTCATCTGCGAAATTGCGATGGCACAAACCGAGTCTCACACACGAGCTGCGACGATTCTTTGGAAAGGGTTTCGCTGGCGAAACCCTGCACTCGAATGAACAAGCGAGTCCTACTATTGTTCTGGCACCTAGCAGTCGTGTAATGTCTTCCGTCCAACTTGTTTATGCATTCACCGTTTACAACTGCTGCTTGCATTGACAATGCAATGTGACCGGCCATGCGGGTCTTTGGGATCTTTGGATCTGATACAGGACCTAACCTTAAAAGTCACAGCCGAGACGGGATCCTTCCAAGAGCAGCGCGCTCCGAATCGCCCACAGTGGCCCTGGGCAAAGCCCGTGGCCGACAACAAGCCCAGAAGGCTCATGCCCGGGAAGCTCCAGCACCAGTATTATGTTTGTTCATATGAGTGTCATCACTACTAATATCAATGTTCTCAATACTCATATGATTATTAACATCTTTGTATTATTGCGAATAGTATCAATGTTTATTTGTAATTAAACATTATTAATTGAAGTCTCAAGTTTAGGCCACAAGAGCTCTGTTTCTCCCTCTTGCTCGACCTCTTTTTCTACCAACTTGACAAATATGAATTTTGGTTTAAACTGTCATTGTTTTAAAACCACTGTTAATAGTATTTTTGTTAAAGTCATTCTCCGCTTTTTTGCTAGTGTTCTATGGTACACACGTTTTTGTCTCTACTCCCTTCTCTCCTACGTCATCATGAGGATGAGTGTCCTCATCATCATCATCATCATCATCGTCACCGCCACAACCATCATCGTCATCGGTGCTTTTACTGTTATTGTCAGTCGTGTCAATACGATTATTATGTTATCGTTAATGTATCACTACTGTTAGCATTGTTGTTACAACGATTTGCAGTCTTATTGCTAGTGTTTCTATCGTACATGCAATTTTGTCTCTACTTCTCCCTCTCTCTCGCATTCGTGTCCACTGAATGGTCTTCCCAGCTTGCAGTGGCCACACCGCGTTGTTGTAGCCGACAGATATTTATCTAAATATCGAGTCCAGCCCAGTCCCTCCAGAAAGGGAATTCGACTGCGATTCGTACCTTGTAGTGTAGGCTAGATTCTATTGTAGACGGATTGCACCACCTGTGTGCAAAAGCCTTGCCTTCTGCCGAAGGCACTGTGCAGGGTTTTGCATCAAATTCGGGGATTCACCACTCCGGCACCATGAGGACGACGATCAAACGGAAGCAGAGATTCCATGTTTGGAAGCTTGAGTAGGGGATGAGTCCTCTGCCGCAGATTTCCACCGGCTTTCATACTTGGTCCGGGTTTATGATTACAGACGCCTGCATCACCATTTGCTGGGCCCAATGAGGGACAGGTCGTCAGCCAGCCGCAGCCAGGGCCAAACGCTCCAACCTAGAAGCCTGATGCCGGAACAATCACCAAGAGTTCCCCATTATACATATGGTATCTAACCTGGCGTAGTATGCCTCAAATCCTTTTTCTTCTAGATTTTAGGACGCCTGTTAATGTTGCACCTGTAGCTGCGCGGGAACGACATGCACAGCAATACATTGACAATCCTATGTATAGGCTTCGGCGCAAAACTTCTCATGGCCGCCTCTCATGCCTGCGTACCACAAAGCCTTGTCTGTCTTGCTCATGTACTTGTTAGTTCCAGGTCCAAAACCCTTGCATGTCGAACCTTGAACCCTGAAGCCCTAAGGCCAAACCGGGTTCCCTTGACTTCCTAAACCCCTACATCCTTGACGTCATCGCAATCTTCCACACACGGTCGAGGCCCCGACGACCGGGGTCCCTGGCGCGCCGCCTCCGCGCGATGCGAGACCGCGGAAACTGGGAGGAGGCCCGCGAGGAGTTTTCGTGAAGGAAATTACAGCGCGCACTGGCTGCTCAGCAGAGTGATGCAGATGCAGACGCATCGGCCATGTTCGGTCATGGTCGTTGTGATGAAGTTAGAATCCTGTCATTTTTGTTCTCCGTCGCACCTTCCCTCCCCTCCTTCCCTCCCTTTGTCTGGCTGGGCTGGTTGTGCTAGGCTGGGTCGGCAAAATTTGGGTTTGGGCTTGAGTATAATTGGTATGCAGTGCGGGTGGACCTTCCAGACCAGATTGTGTACCGTGTTTTGCGGGATTGCTCAAGCGGCTTTGGAGTGTTGTAGTTGCGCGCCCCTCCTCCCTGCCGCATTTGTATACAGGTCACAAGTGACCCCGATTCCCTGAACCGCGATCCTTGGGTCACGGGAGACTGTGCTGCCCTGGGATCCAAGATGAAGAATCCTTCTATGCAGGTCCTATAATGGGCACTTTTTTTCGGAACTCCCACATAAAGCTTCTGAGAGTCTCACCAGTCGGCTGAACTGTTCTGATCGTTACTTTGCTTTTCGAAAGTTTCTGAACGGGCTTCATAGGTCGCTCCTGAGGTGTTTCGGATTGTTTCGGGCTCAAGGCTTCCAGAGTTCAGGGCCTAAACCCTAACCCTATAACCCGATGTGAGCTCGTCGTTGCTAGGCTCATGGGAAACCCTATAACCCTGAACCAAAACCCGATTCCTACTCTACCTCGGCTGAGTACTGAGTAGTGAACTCGCTGTAGCAAGCTGAGACACTGAAGCCGTGCCTGCATGAGCGAGTGTGCGAGGCGCAACCATCATCCAACCTCCGTTTGGGGCTATATTGTACTATATTCATATTAAGAAGTCCCCAAGATGGTCCGTTTGGGGCTATATTATGCTATAATCATAAAGGAGCCCCAAAATAGTATTGGCAATTATTTAGGCCCCTGAAGATGCCCTTAGCCAGGCTCTCTGCATCTGGCGCGCCCAAGGCGATGATGGGGCCTTGGACCCGGCGGCGTGCGCGGAGGCGCCACCAAGCGATCTTCTCGGTATCATCGAGGTCTGGATAAGTAGTACCGGCAACCCCTTTTCGTCCCCCCACAAGCCCCAATTATGTCAGGGATTGCGGTTCCTTTTTGTCCCCACCCCCTAATTATGTCAGGGGTTGGGGTTTGCAGCTTCTTTCCCAGCCGGTTTGGACCCACCAATGTCGGAGGCGAGAACACACCAACATAAAGCCTTAAAAAGTCTTGCGCCCTAAACGCCAAGCCCTGTGTCCTGGTCGTTGCGGCCTCTCGAGACCTTTCGGGGCACTGGAGAAAAGCCAAGCCCTGGGATGCAGAGATGCAGAGCAGAAAAGGCCCCATAAACATAAAACCCAGATTAAGCCCTGAGGCACTGGGAGCCATGGTCAGGACGGCCAGTGCAGCTGAGGCCATTCAGTCCGAGACCTCACAGGTCTTGCAGCTGTTCATTTTCCTGAGGCTTTGTGCTTTTTCCTCAGGCTTTAGGGCTTCCAGGGAATGTAGAACTTAAAGCGTTTCTGGTTCAGTGGGGTTAGGTTCCCTGAACACGGCCCGAAGCTTAGATCTGTTTCCGGAGCCCTTGCCCATTACGTCTTTGGTAGCTAGCTTGAGCCCGGCTGCTTGCAAATCAAAAGAGCCGCTGAGCTCTACCTAACCATGGCAATGACTGTGAAATCCGTGGCAAGCAGCATCAACTCCTCCTGCACCTCCTCGTCGTGCTAGTAGCACTGCACCAATACGACGACGATGACCACACTTTAGCTGTCGGAAAGAGTATGAAGAGTGAAAGGAAGTAAGAGTAACTCCCTATCGTTCCTATCTGAGTAAACTACCCTTTCTTATCTTTGAGGGCCCGGTATTCCTCCTCCTCCTCCTCCTCCTCCTCCCCTCTTAAACCCAAAAAAAGAACCCTAAACTCCCCCTCCTCCGCCTCGGGCTCCTCCTCCGGAGGCTTCGCAGCTTCTGCACCAGATGCGCGACCAGGTCCTCGAGCCGACGACCCAGACCCGTGCGGATGCACAGAGGGTTCGGAGACCACGGGGAGTTTAGGGCTCGAGTTTCGGGTTTTGAGGGAGTCTCAGCTGCGAGCGGGTGCTAGGATCGGAGGTTCAGGGTCCGGGTTCACTCTTAGGGCTCTCATCATACCAAGCTCTTCTCAACATGTACAGGGCTTGCCTGTTTTGACGGGGCTTACCTACTGGTCACTGCTTGGTACACGCTGTGCTGACTCGCGATTCAAGTTATCTCCTTGGGGGGAACCCATGAAACTAGCCGGGCTTTGGGGTCTCATGTGCATCGAGGGATAACTTGGTGCGCATTTCGGCCGGGGATCGAGCAATTTTCGAGCGTGTCTGGGTTTGTAGTTGTGCGGTCTCCCGGAGCATGCCCGCAGCTGTGCTGCGGAGTGCAAGAACCACCAGCAAGTCATACGCGTGCTGTAGAATTAACTGTTACATGGTTATATTGCATGGTTCGCCAGGGATTGTGACGTATTGATAAATCGAGGCATGCAGGGTAGCTGAGCACGCCGACGAAGGCCGGACCACGTCGCCGTGGGATCGGCTGTCGCTGCCTGCGTCGCTGGTGGTGAGTGGGAGCCAAGCTTAGCACACGTTCCAGACAGGCTCTGACTTTCACCGTTCCTGATCGACCCTGTTTGGCTTCCAGGGCATGTGAGAGCATCGAAAGCCCTTTCGGCAGCTGCAGTTACTTCTCGCAAACATGATCCTAAATGGTTGTTCTTCAAGTCAGGGAGGCAACGCAGAGACCTCGGCGAGAGAGAGAGAGAGAGAGACAGGGATATTGAAGAATTGACGAGAGAGAGTCAGAAACCCTCACGTCCCCATTTCCTGCTAAAGTCGATGAGTAAAGGAGCGAGATTTGGAAGGAGAGTCATAAAAACCTCAATTCAACGACGAGGAGGAGGCCGTCAAGCTCCTGTCGGAAGTGGAACTTTGGACGCTCGGTATTCGGAAGAACCTGTCCTCGCAGTCTTCCACCTCCTTTCACATGTGTTTTTCTGCTGATGCTTCTGACCGAGCCAACATCAAGGGTTCTTGCTGTCGGGCAGAAATCCCCAAAACAGGACATCCCAGAACTGCCCTGCAGAAGGAAGCTTCCGGCAAAGTCTGTGGGACCCGTGGCCTACAACGCTGCCATCGGCGCATGCGGCTATGCCCACTCCGCGGAGAGCAGTGGGCTTCGAGCAGGGGCGCATGTCTGCAAAGCGGTGTTCTGTCTTACCTAATTTCGGTCGGCGGAATGCAGAGAGATCCCGCACCATCTTGCATCAGACCTTTCCGACCCAGGCAATCACGTCCCCATATTCAGCGTAAGGGGTGCAAACGGCACTGCTGTGAGGGCCGGGAATCCACAACCCTCGATCTTCACGAGAGCTGACGGGACTTGCTACGCCTGGTCAGAGGATTTGGCTTTCCAATGTGGCTGAAAATCTTGGGGGGGATGGAGCTCCCGAGCGTTATACAACTATACACAGAATCACATATGTATACTTGTATGCACATAATCATATGTGTATATAGATATATGTGTATGTATATATATATATGTATATATGTATGTATATATATATATATGTATATTTCTACACATGTGCCACGACCCTGCAGGAGAGCGCTCTCCAGCTGCTCGAGCGAATGGATCGACAGAAGGCCTCGGGAAGCTCCGCTTGGGGACCTCCGTTCTCGGTGAGTCAATATAGGAGTTTTCCGAAAATAAGGGACCCTAATATAGTGCCCTAAATAGTAGGATCCTTATTATAAGGACCCCAAAATAAGGTACCTTTAATTTTCGGAAACTCCCATATAGGGGCCTAAATAAGTAGAATAAGTTTTCTTTGGGGTATCTTTTTCTTCATTGCAGGGGCCTTACTACTTAGAGTAGGGTTTTGGGGCATATTATACTGTGGTTATAATAAGGACCCCCCCCCCCCCCCCGCATACTATAGGTAACTATTAAGGCCCCTATAGTAAGCTGGGGGGTCAGTTGTTGAGGTTTGAGGTTCCTTCGGACCCTGGACCATCAGACAAGCAGAGGCAAAAGCCAAGCAACAGCACGATTGTATAAGGAAAAGGCAAGATCTTCTTCGTGCAACAATGCCGGAATCGCGACAATGATGTGATAGTGAGCGACCGTAATCTTAAAGAAGGAGCTGCTCCTCCTGTCTTTTGGCAACTCAAGTCCCCAGGACAACATGAAACCTCCAAAGCCTACTTCACGCCAGCGAGATGTACCAAGCCCTTCCAACAAGAGCTGTCCGCCCGTATCGCTTTAAGCACCAATGGCCATGCCGATTGTTGAAGGGACCGTCGGGCTTTGTGCGACAATGGTATAGCTCGCAGGTACGCGTGCACCCCGAAGCTCCCAGAGCAGTCGAACCGCCAAACCCGGAGCTTCTGAAACCAGCGAGGAAATCCAAGCTCGTTTTGAGCGATTCAAAGTTTAAGTCAGTGTGAATTTTAGGCCCCAAAAATGCGGCAGATCCCTCGCACGACCCGCACCTTCGGCGCTGCCATCGGCGCGTGCGGTCGCGGCCACGCCTGGCCAGCAGCTCTGAGCCACTGGCTGGCGCATTACTCTTTCTTGAAATAGTTTAGGAGGGCCTACATGCTTTCAATAGTAGGGTATTGGCGTAAAGGTTTGTAGCGAAAGTCTTCAGCTCCAAAGAATGATATGGTTCAGTATCGGGGAGGCGCGTATTCCTGAGTGTGGCAAGCCCTGGGTAATCACCATCTTCAGAACCCTCTCCGATCGTAGAAAATTAGACCCCCCCTAAACTTCAACGCCACGCCGTGCTGCGACGCTGGTTGGAAGGCAGAAAACATGATCCCCGTTGTGTGTTTTGACCCCTGTTTGATTTTGGTTTGATCGGAAGACTTGTAATGTAATTCTGAGTAGACCGTCGAGGTGATCTGAGATTATGTTTTTGTTGATCCTCATTTTGACCAGTTTTTATCAGCCATTTTCGAGTTTGCATCTTTATTATTGTTTGATTTCTTCCCTCAGCCGGATTCTTCAACTGAGGATTGCTTGAAGAGATGCACCTTGCCTGCACTGAAACGCAAACCCTGCTCGATCCGATCCATCCATGTGACCGGAGTCCAGATCAAATCCTCGGCTCAGTTTGTCGACAGTTGCCACGGTGTCCCTAAACCCTGAACCCCCGGCTATGTGGAGCCTTGCCTGCCTGTGCGAGTGTGAGCGTCGAAACCCTCGACTTGCCACACCGTTTATGTCACAAGATCCCTGTCAGAATCATCGGAGCCAGCCTGGATCATGCGTACCTTTTACGGCTTAGGACGTGTCACGACATGGCAGTCTTACAAGTTCTCTTTCCTGCTGCTGTTTCAGCAGAGACTGAGTTCCACTTCGTTTATTGACGACTCGTCACTCCTCACTCATGCCTTTTTGTTTCGGTATCTGTGGAGGCGAGACTCTCGCTGGCCCGAAGTACCAGGCCACTGCAGGGTTCCATACAAGAAAAGGGCTGAGCATCCGGCACGGGCTTCGCCAGAGTGCTCCATTAGATCACCTCTAGTGCTCCTTAAGTCAGCCAACACCCAATCAGGCGCCGACGCCGTTGCCCATGCCGGCACCATCTCCGCATGCGCAAAGGCCGTTGCATGGCGCCATGCGCTGGTGCTGATCAGGCACCGAACATGTCCGTCCATAGGGGGGGCTTGTATGTCACGTGGGTCATGCTGGTGCCATTGTCAGCTCATGAGACTCGGATGCCGGGCGATAGCTACCAGGCTCCACCCTGCGACCGGGTCGTTCCCCGCAACCAAAGACCTAAGTCCATTCCTCCCAGCCTCACCCATTTCGCAGTTTCTACCTCCTCATCTTTATTCCTATGGCTTGTGCTATTATTATTATTATTATTATTATTATTATTTTTATTTTTATTTCACCAGTCGATGTATTATAACTAGTATCGCTCTTCTAGGATCCCTTCAAGCACGCTTATCACGATTATACAACTATCATCAGTCTTAGCTTTGTGATTACATTTATAACCATTATTGCTAGTTTCACTGTTGTTACACTTACAGTTTCGCGGTGAGTGAGGACTGCGGAGGAGTGGCTGCACGAACCCATGTCTCCTGCCGCCTACACCGTTGCAATCGCAGCCTGTGATCGGGCTGGTCTCTGGGAGCAGGCTCCGGGCTTAGCGATATCATACTGCAGGGTCGCTATAAGGGGTACGAAAAGGTGTACTGTCGGGTTCTTATAGGGGTTACTACGGGCTACAATAAAGGTTACGGTGAGGGTTATCATAAGGGTTACTGCGAGAGATCCTCTAAGTGTCATATAGTGAATATAGTGTCATCGTATCAGGGCCGTAGGGGTGGACGGTACGGATGGACGGAGCCTGCATGGCATCAGCACGCCCATGGGGTTGATCACACTCCGCTATCTCCCGGAATCCTGGAAAGTGTCTCGTGTTGCCGCCAGAGCAAGCGAAGACAAAGCACTGGGAGAGATAGAACCCAACAGCGTGACACAACTTTGGGCTCCGATCCAATGCTTGCATGGGTCAAACCTACCTAGCGCTGCCGGAGTCTAAGAGTAGCAAACCTTCAAGCCACAAGATCACCTGAAGCAGCATGTGCCCCCAAGCTAAACCCCTGAGCTCGCTCTTCCTCCAAGGCTCTGGCGGTTTTCGCAGTGCCTCGGCATGCCTCGGCAGCTCATGCTTACGTAAGAATTAATTCAATTAAGTGGACTGGTTCAGGGTCTAAGGTGCCCTCAAAGGGATACCCCCAAAGGGGCGGGCTTCTGGGTTTGTAGACTTGCTCCACTCCCAGAATGGGAGTCAGGATTTGGCGGGACCCTGGCGGATGTAGACCCTCTCAATAAGATGCCTTTTAAGAGAGCCAGAAGTAGGATTCGGAAGGGGTACCCTTTAAGGGGTCTCCCTCATCATGCTACCCACAGAAAGAGGTATCAGAGAAGGACATGGTGGCCTGGGGTTGACAACTGGAGGGCTTACGTGTGCCAAAAGAGATGTCAAACACTTTTTTGGCTGGGAGAAGTAGCAGAGGCGTGCTGCAAGTGTGCCAAGGACATGCAGCAACAGCAGGCGGCGCCTTGCTCGGCACATTGTATCATGAAGAATGCTGGTGGTCTCATGCTTCTGGGCTCCTCAATGAGCCACAGTGATTTCCGTGCGGGTCTGGGGCCGGAACACGGGAGCACAATCATGCGAGAGAGAGCGGCAGTGGTGTAATCATGAAGCAGGCCTTGGAATCCCTACAACGCGGATTATCCAACGAGCCTGAAAGATGCAAGAAAAGCCATGCCATTCTGATATCCCAACATACCTTCTCAGCAATCAGGGCCATGCCAGTCTGACGCCTTGGCAGCTACGGTTACATGAAGTTCAGTAAGATATCCATGTGGAGGCAAGGACAAGGTGTTACTACCATACACTGAATGATGTCGTGTGGTACTGTAGATCTTGGATTCTGCAGTACAGAAAATGGCATGACATTCCACTGTTACGATGCCATTCATAATGTAACCCTATGTGTTGTCTAGTTTTACAAATGCTTCCTTCTATATTGCTCCCCAGTTTCCCAACTAAGGAGATCGGCACGACTGCGCTGAACGCCCTTCTGAGCGCCTGCGGGCGTTCCAGCGAATGGCAGCAGGCCGTTGAAGCGGCGCGGCCCAGATTAGGGTTGAATTGAATTATCAGGAGTCGCAGGGTTCCTTACTGTAACTATAGTATAATATGCCCCAAAACCCTATTCCAATTGATCCGACTTGGGGCTGTGGGGTTTAGGCTGTTTGTTTTCTCTGTGCATGGCTTTGAAGGCTTTCAGGGGCAGCTCGGATTAAAGCACTGCATGTGGGATTTCTCTGCTGGGGCCCCATTTGAAGGGAAGCCAACTGCTGAGATTGCATATACATATACAATACGTATACAATGTAGAGAGAGGGGGAGAATAAACTGGAGTAGACATATGTAGGTATGTAATTGTATGTATGTATGTATGTATGTATGTATGTACGTATGTATGTCATGTATTTGCAAATCAGTGTTTTTTGTTTTTCTGTCTGTCTGTCTGTCCGTCTCGCTGTCTCTCTCATAATTACTGAACCCTACACCGTGAACCGATTCCGTTTCCCTAGGCATAGCCGTTGGAGTGCATGTTCCGAAGGTACAAAGATGGAACATAAGAGCCCCCCCCTCTTCCAAAGCTACAACCGCATGTCTTCTTCCGTATTTTGGCACGTGACATCATCCCAGTTTCATTGGCGGCGGCACACCTGAACCGTCTTGTCCTGTCCCAGCCAGAGTTGGCTTGCGAAGCTCAATTTGAGAGGAGCTGTAATCTGCTCCGGAAAGCCGCCCTCACCTGGGCCCTGTTCGCGTCATGCCAATTGCACAACGCTGTCTGCAAGGCTTCTGGAAGGATTGCTCTGAAAGAGACTTTGAGCTTTAATAGTACGGTGGATGCCGGCTACGTGTGGTGTGCGATTGGCGAGCATCTGACTGTACGGGGTTCGTAGTGAGATGTCCTCGTCATGAGAACGAACAACAGGAAGAGTTGTCGATATCACAAAAAACGGAAACCATTAGCAGTCAGGCCCAACAGGTACTGCGAGCAGCATGAGAAGGAGAAGCTATGCTGCACGCCTCAAGCGAGAACTGTTAGGCCAATGAGGGCCCTTCCCACCAAGCGAGGATCCCTAATTGCACGAGGGTCCCAAAAGTCTGAACTCAATAACTCCTACATGTATACAATCGGCCAGGAACAGAATCGGACACAAAAGGCACTAACAAACCCACAACCGCAAAACCATCTGCAACCCATAAGCACTTAAAACGGACGCTCTGCACCATTCAATATGCTCCGAAGAAGGCGTGGAATTCTCCGATGTTCGACAACCTCGCAGACCGGGTCAGTTCTGGACTGCTCATACGCCACACGCCTGCTTATGACGGGAGTTTAAAGAAAACGCTAGCAATTGTGACCCTAAGTGACACTTCCAGGACCCTTAATCGGGCCTAGTAAAGTATCGGGGTCACAAGAAATAATTGGAACGACCCAAAATTGCAGTCTCCTGCGGTAGCAAAAAGTGAGTCCTGCAGAAATCTGTCAACCAACAGAGGCCCTGCAGGGCCTGAGCTTCCGGAGTGTTCTTTGGGATCTGGCTTTGCGTCTCTATGGCGTTGAGGCCAGGTTAGGAGTTTATTTCACCCCGATAAGACTATATATGGTCAGGCGTCTGGCGTTCCCAGCCCCCCAGGGGCTGGGAACGCCAGACGCCTGACCATATATACTATACTCATATTTTGCCTCCGCGTAGAGCTCGAAGAAAGAAGGGGCTGGCTGTCCTGCCGCCTCCATGAGTTGCGCAGTCCGAGACATGCAAAGTGTGCTTGCGACTGAGGAGCGCTCGAGCGAGCAGGCGCGTTCGTGGGTTCAGGTTTTTTGCTTAGGAGGGTTTGGGGTTTAGGGATTTGGGTTTAGGGTTTGGGTTTAGGGGTTTGGGGTTTGGGTTTAGGTTTGGGGGTTTGGGTTTACAGTAGGGTTTAGGGTTTGGGGTTTGGCCGGGCTGTGGGCAGAGACTTGGTGCAGCGAAAGTGTTTGTAGGGCTTGGAGCCGGCCGTCAGTCTTGCCACCTGGTATCATCTGGCCCGCGTCCAAGCTACATAGCTTTTACTAGTAAATATTTACTGGAATATAGTATCATACACAGAGCAGCACGCAAAAGAGTGTTTATGATATAATATGGTATATAGTATGATAGGGTGAGTTCTCTCCTGTAGGACAGTGGAGCCTCGCACTGGAGACGTTCCGGGAGCTTGGAGCCATGCGGGTGGAGCTAGGTGAGCGCCGGCTGAATTACTGTAGGGGTCCCATGTCAGGGTCAGTGTATCCGGGATCTTGCTATTTCGGATCCACTTTTGGGTGCCCCCACCAGTTTGCAAGCAGGTGAATGTCTGTCGGTCTCTCGCCCCCCTTCCCTCTGTCATCGTTAGTAGACTGTGGATATATCTCTCATTTCGTGTCGCACGTCATTTGTGAGCCCGTCTGTGTCTCTTGACAACTCTTGCTCATGACAGGGACGGCCGCCTTCAACGCAGCCATTTCTTCGTGCGCCCTTGGGCGCCGCTGGCAATTTACCTTGGAACTGCTTCAGCAGATGCCCTCTGTCCGCGTGCCGATGACGCGCAGCACCCGAAATGCGGCGTTGCCATCGCCTTAGCTTACATGATTGTGCAGGACCAAGTGCAGCGGTTCAGGGCAACATGTTTCTTGACCCTGAAGCCCCTTGGCCCTAAACCCTGAAAAGGTTTCTCCTGCATACTGCATATGCCGGTAGCATCTTCGGACGCTTTGACTGGAAGCCTTCCAACTCTCAAGCATTCGGGTCAGTTTGTAGTCGGGCTGATCGGCATGCTTGGCAATTGCTGTCAGAAGCATTGACCACACTGGCAGCTTCCTGGTCCTTGTACCACACTGCTATGTGGGTCGTCCTTGCCATGCGGAAGGCAAAAAGCCCAAACTGTACTACCCTGAGACCCCAAAGGCCCAAGCCCAGAACCCGTACGCTTGTTCACATCACGACTTCTACCTCAGTTGCTTTGACTCGTCGGTCCGTACTTAACTGTCTTCAAGGATGGAGCCGTATCGTTGTTACTTTAATTCTATAAGTGGCTCAAAGTTTGCTGGTTGCACTCTGATTAACCCCAATATATCTACCGCCCTGCAATGAGGGTCTCTTCCTATCCAAGCACGAGGCAACACAAAAACTCTGAACCATCAGCCGCCGATTGGCGCGCGCCTTCGATCCCTGCAGTCCGAACCCTGAACTCTAAACCCCGAACCCTGAACCCCGAACTCTAAGACTCTAAGCCCCAAGAAGGCGGGTGGGAAAGCAGAGTACACATGAGGGAACCCCAATCGAGGCGTGCTTTCGACGGCCCTGAGCTCATCCCGGCGGCCGCTGGGGCTCTTCGACTGCTGAGGGCCGGGCTCGGCGCGGCGCAAACAGAGGCTCCGGGTTTGGCCGTCAATAACACCTAATCAGCAAGCCGGGGTGGGTGTCTCTCTCTCTCTCTCTGTCTCTGTCTCTGTCTCTGTCTCTGTCTCTCTCTCTCTCTCTCTCTGTCTCTGTCTCTGTCTCTCTCTCTCTTCCTCTCTCTCTTCCTCTCTCTCTTCCTCTCTCTCTTCCTCTCTCTCTTCCTCTCTCTCTCTCCTCTCTCTCTCTCCTCTCTCTCTCTCCTCTCTCTCTCTCCTCTCTCTCTCTCTCTCTCTCTCTCTCTCTCTCTCTCTCTCTCTGTCTGTCTGTCTGTCTGTCTGTCTGTCTGTCTGTCTGTCTGTCTGTCTGTCTGTCTGTCTGTCTGTCTGTCTGTCTGTCTGTCTGTCTGTCTGTCTCTCTCTCTCTCTGACTATTTTCGCCTGTGTGTATGAATGCAAAGGTGTATATACATCTACAGACACTTTCAATATTAAATGTAAGACTGTATGTATGACTGTCCGTCTGTCTGTCTGTATGTACGTAGGTATGTAGGTATGTAGGTATGTATGTATGTATGATCATGGGCGATACACAGAAACCTTTGCACGTGTGAAGGTGTTTCTGTCTGTTTGTGTAAGTATGTGTGCATGTACCGAAACATCGCCTGACTCTGTCGAGAGCGTGCCAAAAATGTTTGCAGGTAGGTACGTATGCATGTATGCATGTATGCATGTATGCATGTATGTATGTATGTATGTATGTACTCATGTATGTATGTATGTATGTATGTATGTATGTATGTAGTATGTACTATGTATACATGTTTGTTTGTATGTATGCATGTATGTATGTATCAAAGTGCATGTGTGCTTGTTGTTTGTTCATGTTTGCATGGACTGATTACATATGACATATGGTCATACTTTTATTGATGCAATCACATGCATACATGTTCGTATACACATGTACACACGTACTCGCTTGTATATATATATATATATATGCGTGTACATACACATATATCTATATATACATATGTAGATGGTGCTGCGTCGCAGGCCCCCCCAACCCCACCCCCCCCACCCCCCCAACCCCGCTTGTGTATCCCCCCCCCTCTGCAGCCACGGTATGCCCCCCCCCCCCCCCCCCAAAGCCAGGCCTCTCGCCTTAGCAAGCGACTCTCGAGCAAGGGACCGGAGGAGAGTGCAGATGGGGATCGTGACCACCATCATCATCATCATCATCACCATAATATTCATCACTAGCATTGGCTTTGGAGCTCAGGGCAGGTCGGAGATCGGTGCCACTGTATCACATCCTAAGGTCCAAACCCTTAGCAACCGGACGCCCAACCAGCAATAGCCATGGAAGCGGGCGCAGCCGACCGCAACCACCACAGGGGGAGGGGGGATACCATGGCGGGGGCGAACGGGGGGCCAAGCAGCGCTCGAGCCCATGCAGTGCGCAGAGATGGCTGGTGTAGAGGGGCGCTAGCAGGCTTTCTCAACGTCTCCAGAGTGCCTGCAGGAATGGCATCGCCAGACCTTGCCGCGCCACTTGGAGCTGTCCCTGGGCATCAGTCAAGTAATATTGGCGCCTAAATAATTACCAATGATACTGTTTTGTGGGTTCCTTAATTCTATTTATAGTATAGTGGTTTCCGAAACCCTATCCTACGTATAAAGGCCCCTGCATTGGAGTGGTTTTCGTAGCCAGCATCAAACAGTCATGATGTGATGCTGCTACTACCATGACTGCAGATGCTACAACGACAACAACCACCACCGCCATGATAACTATAGTTGTCTTGTTTGATACTAAGTCCCAAGATCCTCCAAGCAGGACCGAGCATGCCCTGGACCAAGCGGCCTCTCAGCTAGAACTACGGCTCACGAACCCGGAAGGCTTCGTGTGGGGCCCGGACGGCTTCGCGGTTTCTGTCAGGTTTTAGTGCGGCTTAGTAGGCTTCTACCGGAGTTTGGTAGGGGAAGGATGGGAAAGGCTAAGTTCACAGTACGGCAGCTGTCAGGTGTCCCTCAGGGAAGGGTGCGCCGTAATCCAAAAAATTCAGAGATCCGAAGCCCAAGACCAATAAAGGAGTTTGCAAAACATGTAGTTACCTTCTCAGCGCAACTTGCATTGAGAGCTTCTTGTGCCAGGCTCGGAGCATGTTGTTTAGATCATGCGCTCATGCCCACATGTACACAATCAATGCTTTTGCCCATATACAGTAGTTATTGCGGGATTAATTAGCACCATACTCGTCCACATCTATTTTGTATATAGATCCATTATGGGAGTTTCCGAAAATAGGGCACCCCAATATAGTACCCCTAAATAGTAAGATCCATATTATGAGGACCCCAAAATAAGGTACCCCTAATTTTCGGAAACTCCCATATAGGCAATGGCAGGAGTTTCAGAATAGCTCATTTCAACCGCTGAGCCGAAGGATCCGATTCTTTAAGCAGCCCGAAGTAAGGCACCACCCCGACTCTCTGAGATCCCTTCCCCAGAGAACCCAATACCCCCTAATTAGGGATGATACCTTAAATTATCGGGGGCTTTAATATTATGTTTTAAGGCATATTCCTTAATTAAGGCTTGCGCGCCTAAAAAAAAACTACCGCTCGAAATGTTGACGACGAGGAAGACAACGATGATGATGAACATTACGATGGTCACGATGATATCGATGGCGATGGCGATGATGATAACGATGATGATGACGATGATGATAACAATCGTGGTAGCAATGATGATGACCTAGCGATCTGGCAAAGGTGACTGTGCAAACACCTTTTGCCCCTACCTTTTCCACCCACAAACCTCAACAAACTTGCCGCGACCTTCAAAGTCATCGGCCCCACCAGTGTTTTCGCCTTCTGCCGTAAGACTAGCTTTGCAGCCCAGGTCCGGAGAATAAATTCAGGCCGGCTTTTCCCAGCACACAAAAAGCCCACTGCTCAACACGTTGATGACGATGATGATAACGATGATGATGAGAATGATGAAGATGATGGTGATATCGATGGTGGCTGTGAGGATGATACCGATGTTGACATCGATGATGATAGCACTGATGGTCGCCTAGGGCGCCCAGAAAACTGGACACGAAATCGTGTCCCGTTTTTCTTCTGCCACAATACCGCTGGGGAAGGTCAAAACGTGCGATTTTGCTGCGCCTGCCGCACTTTTGTACACTTCCCTCGGCCGCTCCTCTGTAGGTTTTGTCTTCAGGGTAGTTTTTTTTAGGCGCGCGCGCCTTAATTAAGGGGTATTGGGATCTTTGGGACAATGGGCAGGCGTAAATGAGGCCAGCGCGGCCTCAGCCTCGCAAGGTGGGCGTTTTTTGGTGGGGGATTGGGACCGGGTTTAGGCTTTATGTAGGGGTTTAGGGTCGAGGGGCGTGGCTGACCGAGCCATGCGATGTCTGAACAAGCAATGATGGTGTTTAGGGCCAAGGCTTTCTTGTGGATAAGTATCACGTTGTATAATGACTGTAGCGGTGGACACAGGAATACTCAGAGCATCTTCTATCTGTGAGGGGCGCTGCGAGTTCAGATTTCAGACCGAACAGGTGCTGGCGACGTAGGGTCTTAGGATGTATTCGATGGCTTCTAGGATTTTGCAAAAGCGGGGCTTGTGGATTTGCAGGTTCGCGTTGAAATCTGCACATTTGCCCCCCCTGCACGAACAATCTTTAAACGCATCTTCGAGCATGTTTGCTAAGGTTTTTGTTGTTTTCAACGTGAGAGTCGATGATCGCTAGTTCTCGGCGGGATGTGCGGTGGTACATGGTCATGGCAGTAAAATTCAATCACTTCTTCTAGCACGACTTCATCGTGACTGCTGTTGCGACCTGCTGCTCTCGTACAGCATCCGTCAGTGTAAACCTAAGCGTGCTCACAGGCGATCAAGCACCGTCCCCGTGCCTATAACTTTTTGCACTGTTCTTACTTTTGTTGTTGTCTTGCTTGTGGTGGTGGTTGCTGTTGTGGTAGGCCGAACTCGGAACCCTGTAAGCCCTAAACCCCAGAAGGCGACAAAGACTTCGCCGAAAGAGCCGAGCGCGCGCCCGCGGAAGCGCAGGCGCTGCCTCTCGAGACGAAGCTGAAGATTCGAGAGAACTGAGGGTTTTATAGGGTCCGTTCAGGGTTTTAGAGGGTTGTGGTTTACAGTCTATTTGTAGGGTTTAGGGTTCATGGGGACTTCGGGGAATCTCAGGTGCGTCACGGATCCTGGTTCAAAAAGTGCAGTCTGTGCAAGTGAGGATTTCAACGCTCAAGGTGAGCGAAAGCTAAGGAACTCCTTTCCAGTATTGGGCCGGATCTGGCTTCAGCGACAATTGGAAGCCTCAGGCTGGGTCGGGTCCTGCAAAGCAGAACTTTGCCGAGGATGTGACATGCATTGTTGGCAAGGTAAATTTCAAACACCAGGATCCTTATGCTAGGGACTGCGGACTAGGGGATTCACGGGACTTGGCATCTTGGGCGGCTTCTTATCTACACGACAGGCGCGAACTCCGTGCCGTGACGGCTGCAAGTCTTGGAGCGGCAGATGCGGACGTCTTCGTTCACCTGGTGGGTTCGCGACTCTACGGCGTCCGCCCCTGAGCGGGTGTTCAAATCGAACCCGAAGCGCTGAAGGATGCAGAGATACCTCTCATAACACTGGCCATGGACGCTGAACACTGTCAATTATCCACATGTAGGTTGCTGGAAACAGGGACTCGCGACATGGCAAGCGCAGCAGGAGTAAAGCAGTTCTCTGCATCAAAGCAGCCGAGCCGGTGATCCACAAATACTCCGCTCCAAGCCTCTCTGAAGGCATCGTGCCCCGAAACTCCGCCAGTCTGAAGTCCAAACCTGAAGGGTTCGAACTGCTTGAGACCCTGAGATGCTCACCCCGGAAGGCTACGGCGAAAAGACCTTGTAAGCTGCATGAGGCCAGCCTCCCCCAAGCAGATGTCGACCTGGTGATCGAGCTCCGCTCGGAATTCGAAGCCGCGAGGAGGAGTGAGGCAGGACAGGTGGTAACGGAAACTTAGAAGGGATCTGTAGCTCGCGGCAGTGACCTGCTATGACGGAGTGGAGCAGCGCAGCAATTCTCATGATTTTGTAATCAGGGCCGTAGCCATGCGCGACTATCAGTTTGCAGAAATGGGGGCAGTATTTCGGCCCTGTCGTTCTCGAGCAATAGCAATTTAGCATCAGCAACGGCTTGTTCTGAACATGTGGGTTCTGTTTCGCGATTTCCAAACGAACCCCGATCCATGATCTGCCAATCCGTTGAATCCTTGCTTCACTTTGCCGGCCACGGGCAGGTTGCGGACGAACAGAGCCACACAAGCACACCCAGGAGGGCCTGTCAGAAAACAGGGGACCGTGACCGAGAGTCTCCAATACGTTGATTAAGGAGTCACCGCATCGGTTTAAGAAAAGGAGGAGACCGTACTTAAAATCTTACAAGGATCCTGAGCAGCAGATTCCTACCTCAAGGGGTTTTGGGAGTCTGGCACCCTCATTAAGTAGAGGAAACCGAAGGTGGCAGGCAGTCGCCAAACTAGCAGCACGGGAAAGTAATGGATGGGATGCAGCGCCCCAGCCACCATGCATGACGCGAGTCATAGGGGGCCGAAGTCGTTGCGAAGAGCACTGCCTGCAGATCGAGGTGGTCCCGATCCTAAACCCTAAACGCTCTGAAGGAGGAAAGTAGCGTGTAGTTTGTTATAGTTGTGCACCCAAAACACAGAGATCTCGTCTGGCGAGTCCGAGTTGCGCGAGCGTAAACACTCTGATATGCGAGAGAGCGCCCTGAGTCTGAATGAAGACCAAAGACATTATCATTCAAACCAACAGATCTGCTGGGAGGATTGTCTCCATGCGATCCCTGCTGCAGTTGAGACGGCACATTGAGGCTCAAATTTCGGGAATGGACAAATTCAGACAGTACAAATATCTGCGCGCACACACATGTCTATATCCATATAACTCTCTCTCTCTCTCTCTCTATATATATATATATATATATATTGATCGATGGATAGCTATACATGGGTACAGACACCTGGCTTGAGAAAAGAGCAGTTTGATTTATTGTGTTTTATTGGCTCTTGAACTACTTCCTTCCTCCAGCAGACTATCAGCTTTTCAGGGTTTTGTATCATGGCGGAAGGTCGGCGAGAAGTACTTCAGAGTCAGAGGGCTGTGGTCAGGTTGGTTGGCCTAACAGTTGTAGGTAAGCCCCTCGCTTGATTCCCATCAGAGGCTCTTGCAGCTCCGGATGCGAAAAAGCTTCGTTTTGCCTCGTCTGTTCTCTGCAATCAAGTGAACCTCACGAACACCTGGATGAAGCTTTTTAGCAACCGGAGACCTGATACTTGTGGCTCAGACCTCGACTCGAATGATACATGTTCTCTTGAGATGAGCCCGCAAAAGCGTACACGAACTAAGTGCTTGTGTTTTTTGTAGACCTCGTCGGGATCTCCGGGAAGCCAAAAACACCATCGCTCACTTCACCCTGGTCGCCAAGTGTGAGATTCGAAGCCTCTCTCATGCAAGGCATCAACAACTAACCATGCCAGTCCTTTCTGATTTCTGACCCTTCAGGCCAAGGCAAGTTGTTGCGGCGCTTCCACAATGAACCATTAAGACTGAAGCCTGAACTCTTGACCCAGCTAGGGCAGTGCCCAGAAGCCCAAGCCCAAGCCATAAATCCTACCAGGAACCTCGCCAGGCATGTCCGAGCTGTGAGTGCTGAAACCATACAGCCCCGACATTTCCAGAGTCCCTAAAGCCGGCACCGAAGCGCCGCACTTTAAACCCCAATGTCCTAAGCTCCATCTGGAAAACCAATGGTTCAAGTCCACATGATCCCATACACCCCAACGAACCCCAAATCCTAGACCTCATAAATCCAACACCCTGCCAGGAGTGACAGTTAAAAGCTTACACCCAAGTCACATCAGGCAGAAGCGAACTGGGAAGTCATGGAGATGGCATTGGACGCTCGACGCCCGATGTTGCGGCTGAGGCGGGGTTCACCTGCTCTATTCTGAAAGTTGTTCTAGGATTCGATACTTGTTTCCATTTTTATGCTTTGGGGTTTCCGCTGGTGGAAGTTTCGGCAACGGTAAATAGGACCTAGCCGAATCGTAGCTGATGAGAATCGGATAAGGGTCGAAGCCTTTGGTGCTACTGTAGTGGTTAGGTATCTTAGGTTTTGGGGTGTCGGCCCGGTGTCGGCTTTAGGAGACAGTTGGGATGGCGCCCAAGTTTCAATGATTTGCTTTCGCGCCTTTTGGCTTGAGTTCTGTCCAGTGTATCGGAAAACGGAGATCTTGCAGCAGCTCTGGAGACATGGAAGCAAGGTTTCTTACGTTCGGGCAGGCCAACAATTGAACAGCTGCTCTCTCCAGCAGGCACGCCAACATCGATGCTGGCATCGAGGCCCCGTTTCCGACAGCATGAATGATTGCAACTCATTGATGCAGAAGAGAGATGGCAAACACATGTGCAGGCTCGCACATGAGAATCACATCAAGCAGCCAGGTTTCGGGAAATCAGGAAAGCAGAGCGCGTTGGTGTTGTGCCTGGCCTTGCCGGAGCTGACACTGTCGGACGAACCCGTGCTCGTCGTGCAGCGGTTTCAGGGATTTGGGGCGGCTTTTATTGTGTAAGCATACCGCAACCGAACACTGCAGGTCACGTTCGACCAGACCTTGGCCACGCTCGAAAAGAGCGAACTCCTCGCCAGAGCATGCCGGGTTGCCCGGTATGCTGCGACTTCCTGAGTGTAACATGTTGAGCTCGACAGCGGATGCCATTGAGCATTTCAAGTAGCCGGGAATCTGACACCTTCCAGGACGCGGCCACCGACCCGCAGCCCTTACTTGTGTAGACGCCGGTGCAGAAAAATAGCCTTTGAGGTGAAGACTTCGACCTGCTACTCGAGAGTAGGGAATTGTGGTGCGCTTGTGGGCCTGATATGTTGTTTGCGAAGGCCTGGGCGTAAGCCATGCAACCTGCTGCTTGCAAACGCCAAACGCTGGCAGTATCGTCGTCGTGCCCTGTGTTTGGCAGATTGTCTTGCGGCTGCTATAGCGACGAGAATGATGATGATTCTTCGTCCATCGTTAGTAGTTTGTAGTTCTGTTCGTGGCAGTAACGTACCTAGACCTAGATGGTTCAGGCCTCGAAGTTTTAGATGCCTCAAGGCTACCAGGTGAAAGAACCAATCGATGACACGCAGCTCAGATTACAAGTCTAGGTTACCAAGCCGGAAATTCGCGGTAAGAGCCTTGGCCTTGCACCGGATGCAGAATTTCTGACCATCAGTCTCGTATTCACCCGGCTGCCCTCAAGGCCCTAAGCCCTAGAAATGACAGTAATTGCATGCCTTCTCGCGGCTGAGGTCGTGAGGCCGCAAGCCAGGGCCTTTCCTCGGTGTTGCTCCTGGTTCGAGCTTGGGCACAGAGGCGCGGGCATGCCCGCAGCATGTTCCTAAGGGAGCTTCAGAGCCTTTTGGTTCTTTGGTTAAGGGTTTAGGGCTTTGGGAGCTTCAATCTTCAGGAGGAGGGTTTCTGCCAGTAACAAGGTCGGCTTGTCAGCAGGTCATGTGGAAGAGCTTGGTTGTCCCTGCGCTCGAAACAATGCAGCCTACGGCTTGCATTTGGACTAGCTTGTGCTCTGAACCAAGGGACCATAGACTAGAATCTAGAAGATTTCCCATTCGTTTCACTTGCTATGTGCAGTACTATTGTGTTGTCATTAATTTGCCATGCGTTGTTTGATGAATGTAGTCGTTGTTGCCGGCATTGAAAACAGCACGACTTCTGCCAATGTTCCGAAATAGGGGACCCTAGTATAGTACAGTAGGATCCTTATAAAGACCCGCAAAATACAAGGTACCCCCTAATTTTCGGAAACCCTAAACCCCTTTATAGCCCTTTAAAGGAGCCCTTATAGTACCCTTATAGTAACCCTTTAAACGAACCCTTCTGGCACCCTTCCAGTAACCCTTGAAGGGGCCTAAACTTTTTTGATCCGCAGGCGGCAGATCTGCGGACAAAGACAAGGCCAGCGCCCCAGTGAAGAGGGGAAAGTAGGGGCCCTTAAAAAGGACAACTGAGAACTTGGGCTGCCTTTAAAGGGGTCTATGTAAGGGCTACTAAAAGGGTACTATGATACAGGGGCCTTTCATTGTCCATTTCCTTTGAAGGGCTCCTTAAAGGGGTGTATAAGGGATCTATAGTGGGAAAGAATTAGAGTAGGGTTCCTTTAAAGGGGTCTATATATCAGTGTTACTGTAAGTGCGAACGGACTGCGATGCCTTGTCAAGTTCTAAGGTGTCACTATAAGAGCTGTGAGCAAGACCGTGTAAAGTGCAAGAGAAGGGGGCACGCTACGCGTCCCTCGACTCTAGGGGGCATGCTACGCATCCCTCGTCTTTACCTTTCTATGTGACCGCCAACGCAACGTTTGGCTCAAGTCAATGCCCATAGCTAAGTGCTATATGTGTCTTCTATCCTGAGCAATCAGAGCTATCCCGTTGCACAGACGAACCGCCGCCGGCAGTGAGTGCAAAAGGAACGGCCGCCGGT